CATAACCTGAAAGGTCGCTCAGCAAGGAAGAAGCCACTGCTCCAAAACCGCCATAAAAAAGCCTGACTACGGTTTGCAACTGCACATGGGGACAAAGATCATACTTTTTGGAGAAATGTCCTCTGGTCTGATGAAACAAAAATAGAACTGTTTGGCCATAATGACCATCGTTATGTTTGGAGGAAAAAGGGGGTTGCTTGCAAGCCGAAGAACACCATCCCAACCGTGAAGCACGGGGCTGGCAGCATCATGCTGTGGGGTGCTTTGCTGCAGGAGGGACTGGTGCACTTCACAAAATAGATGGCATCATGAGGAAGGAATATTATGTGGATATATTGAAGCAACATCTCAAGACATCAGTCTGGAAGTTAAAGCTTGGTCGCAAATGGGTCTTCCAAATGGACAATGACCCCAAGCATACTTCCAAAATTGTGGCAAAATGGCTTAAGGACAACAAAGTCAAGGTATTGGAGTGGCCATCACAAAGCCCTGACCTCAAGCCTATAGAAGATTTGTGGGCAGAACTGAAAAAGTTTGTGCGAGCAAGGAGGCCTACAAACCTGACTCAGTTACACCAGCTCTGTCTGAGGAATGGGCCAAAATTCACCCAACTTATTGTGGAAGGCTACCCAAAACGTTTGACCCAAGTTAAGCAATTTAAAGGCAATGCTACCAAATAATAATTTTGTGTATGTAAACTCTGACCCACTGGGAATGTGATGAAAGAAATCAAAGCTGAAATAAATCACTCTCTCTACTGTTATTCTGACATTTCACATTCTTAAAATAAAGTGGTGATCCTAACTGACCTAAAACAGGGAATTTTTACTAGGATTAAATTTCAGGAATTGTGAAAAACTGAGTTTAAATGTATTTGGCTAAGGTGTATGTAAACTTCCGACTTCAACTGTAGGTAGGGGTAAAGTGACTATGCATAGATAATAAACAGAGAGTAGCAGCAGCGTATGTGACGAGTGTGAAGGAATGTGAGTGTGTGTGTCGTCAATATGCATGTGTGTGTATGTGTGTGGTAAGAGTCCAGTGAGTGTACATCGTGCCTGTGCAAGAGAGTCAGTAAAGAAAATAACAATAAATCATAATAAAATAAGGGGGTCAATGCAAATAGTCTGGGTAGCCATTGGATTAACTGTTCAGCAGTCTTATGGCTTGGGGGTAGAAGCTGTTAAGGAGACTTTTGGTCCCAGACTTGCCGATGACTACCATGCGGTAGCAGAGAGAACAGTCTATGACTTGGGTGGCTGAAGTCTTTGACAATTTTTAGGACATTCCTCTGACACCGCCTGGTATAGAGGTCCTGGATGGCAGGAAGCTTGGCCCCAGTGATGTGCTGAGCAGTTGCCATACTAAGCGGTGATGCAACCAGTCAGAATGCTCTTGATGGTGCAGCTGAATAACTTTTTGAGGATCTGTAGATGCTCAAAAAGCACCCAACATAGTGACATATGCTGCCACGTCTGGAATCCCAGAGGACCTCCCCTCCACATTTCATCAGGAGAAGCCTCGCAAACGTCCCTTCTTATTAGGATGTTTTCCATCATCTCCAAAGGCCTATCCAAGCTATTCATACGCTCCTCATTGAGCAAGTAACACAATTAATGTATTGGCCAATGATTAAATATAATTGCATTGATGGCATTTCTGTCTTCGTTTTCCTGTTAAATCCATGTCTGTAACCGCATGGAAATCTAATTATCATGATACATAAAAAAATTGTCAAATGAAAATGAATCTCCATTAAGAACAGCAAGTCACATTAATAAGAAGTAAGTGGAATGTCTAGAGCAAGTCACACTAATAAACTATAGGCCTATTTAGTTTATGCACGAATTAAAAAATAAAGGATCCAGGACACTCAGTGACAAGGGAGTCAACTGTTTTTATTTTTCAAACGCATTCAATGGATATATGTCATACCTGAATAAATCCAATAGGGGGCAACATATACAAAGCAAAAGAATGAAGGACCAGTCTGGAGCTACAAAAAGAGGCCCGAATGATAATGTAAATCTCGGGTAGCCTATCACTGTCTCTACAATGCTAGAGGGGGCTGACCATGGCATGGGGTACCTATACATCATTGGGGTACCTGGGTTTTGAAATATAATCTCAAGACATTGTGAGATAAGGCTATCATATAACTGTCCACATTGTGATGACAGTCGATAGGCTATATTTGTTATTGATACTGTAAATTTTTGTCATTTAGCAGACTTTCTTATCCAGAGTGACTTTGGGTCAAGTGCCTTGCTCAAGGGCACATCGGCAGATTTGTCACCTAGTCGGCTCAGGATTAGAATCAGCGAGCTTTCGGTTACTGGCCCAACGGTCTTAACCGCTGGTCTACTGTAGGTCCCTTAAACTCAACTATGGACCTCGAAGCCATCTCCACTGCTTTGTTCATGTACATGTGGTCCTCTGTAGCTCAGCTGGTAGAGCACGGCGCTTGGAATGCCAGGGTAGTGGGTTCGATCCCCGGGACCACCCATACACAAAAATGTATGCACGCATGACTGTAAATCTCTTTGGATAAAAGCGTTGTTAAATGGCATATTATTATGGTTCCCCTCTAATCAGGGACTGGTTTAGACCTGTGACACCAGGTGGGTGCAATTAATTATCAGGTAGAACAGGAAAACAGCAGACTCCGGACCTTTTAGGGTAAGATTTGAATACACCATGCTGTAGGCTAATACTTGTATTCGTATATCTCACTTATATGATGTAGCCGAAACACTTGGAAATTATTGTGTAATTTTTCAAGAATAAAACGTTTTCTTTTGGCGAGCGTTCTTGTTCCAGTCGGAATTAGGAAACTCGGAAATGTCCGACTTGCTAACTGGTTGCAGTTATACACGTGCCGCGTTCAACGAATTAGAAAATCGGACATTTTCGAGTTTCCTAGTTCCGACTGGCACATGAACACAGCATTTATCTTATGGGTGTCAGTCAAACAATTGCATGGTTTCTGTTTTTTTTTTTATCAAGCATACCTTGATTCTGGTAGATACATAACAGTTAAATTAACAACAAAAGATGAGCAGCCTAATGATAATCTCTCATGGACAGACTACATACATCGAGCATCTGACCAATCACACGAGACTTTAGTATTTTTTTTCTTTGTATTATTCAAATTACAATAACAAATAAACATAGGACATCACTACAAATATATTTTATTCGTATGAAACAAAATGAAATAAAACAAAAATAAGAAATCAAAATCACTACACATGAATTTGCCAGTGACTACAGTTGCATTAAAGTGAAAGTACCTCCAGTAAAATACAAAGAACAAGGTCAGGGGTTACAATTGTATAAACCTATGGTAGAGTTGTAAGAATACATATTGTTTTTTGTCATTAACTAATTCTAGAGATTGTATTAAATATTCGATTTCAAGTAAAAAAAATATTGCATTTGGGGACCAATTTCAAATATTTGTTTTTATGGAAAATGTACCATAGAGAATGAAGAAATTAACTATTAATTCAGTAGGGGAAGGGGAAACTTTTATACACATTGTTTAAGAGTGTGACTCTGTGAACTTATTTTGGATTTACAATGAATGATATAATATATTATTATTCAAATGAAATCAAAGCTACAAAGCGAGTTTTTAGTTCTGTGTTAACCGAGATTACCTATAGAACTATCCTTCGTGGCGGAGGGTATATTGCGCATTGACGTAGTCCGCGGAGGGATATGGTATAAACTATTTGTCACGGTCCTCTTTTCGCGATTTGTTCTGTATTGACATTGGTAACGCGTCAGGAGACAACGCTGTACTTGGCCAATGTGAAGCGAAGGGGCAAGACGAAACCAAAACAATTTAGCAGATGGACCTTAATAAGGGACATACATTCAGTGGTTTTACTTGTCGTACTGTAAAGGTGAACATGAATCGGTTGCCATATTCTTGCGGACCCAACTATGTTCTCCCTGTGACTGAGATTTGATGACCAATGATGAAAATCAAGGATTTTGAATAGATGCAATTTGGATTACATTGAAGAGAATCGCACGGAAGTCAATGTTTTCGAAGAGGAGAGACGTCATCTGTATTGAACATCTCGCCACAAGAGGACTATTATGACAGCTAGCTGTGATTTACACGAATTATATTCAAACTCAGTAGTGTTGCTTTTCAGGCAAATAAATAAGCCTGTATTTTTTCTTTTCTTATGATACCCTGCGATAATCTGATCCTTACAAATTGATGTCCGTCAATTCAATTGATATTCTGTTTAGCTAACATGAAGCTAATGTTAAAGCTAGGTAGCTATATAATATGTTGTTAGCATGGTTGCTTGCCAGCAACAATGAATGGGCAACATGACGCTTGTCGTCACAGCATGTCACTCTGGTTATATAGTTGAAGTGTCTGTGGGTGTTTGACGCTTGCAATCTATTTATCCAGAACACTTGACATCATGTAGAATGTCAAGAAAAGCTGTTTTCAGCTATTTTGTTTGCTAACTACATGCATATATAATTAGCTAGCTAGCCAGCTTGCAACGCTAGCAATCTGGGTCAGAAAATGACAGCTGGCAGTAGGGACTGACATTGTGTAAATTACCTTGGGATTGTGGCCAGCCATGCGTAAAGCTGACTGCAGTGTCTGATTGTGGAAATAGTTCAACGTCAAGCCTTACATAATCTGTTGTACTTGGCTACTGACATGGAAGAATTTGACACTAGCTCCAGTTTTGCATCCCATTTTAAACGTGATCAGTTGTATCATCACCTGGCTATTTCTCAGGCAATATCAAAGGTGGACTGGAATATGCGTGTCCTTGTAAAACTGACTTGTATTTTGTAAACGCCACAAGCACTAGTTTGATTGACAGCTAAAGCAACGTTTGGGTGGATACATTGTTGCACCAGGGTTCTGCTATCAAAAGAGAGCATCCTTCAACGTGCATCACTGAAGAAAGAACCTTTCGACACCTGACCTAAATTGGACAGTTACTTTGACAATGGAGACTGTGGGAGACTTTGAATACAGCAGAAAGGACCTGGTGGGACATGGGGCTTTTGCTGTGGTGTTCAAAGGAAGGCACAGAAAGGTAAATATCTGGAACATTAAAGGTCTGCATCTCCATCTTTCCCATTGCATTGCTTGCCCCCTCCCTCCCTCCTCCATCCCTACCTCCCCTCTCCTCTTTTTTCTCTCTGAGGTTATGTGAGAGTAGTGATGTTTATATAAATCTGTGTCAATGGCATTGCACTGCAGTAAATAAACTGTCATTTGGCATAGTTTTGTTTAGTTTTCCTTCAACTAACTAGACATTATAAATATTAGTTACGATAGTGATGCAAAAATTGCAATTAAATACAAGTCTATACATTTATAGGCTTCACCTTATTCAAATATAACAATGTTATTTACATGTTTTTCATGCATGTGATTGTGTTTCATAAGCCTCGATCATGTGATGATGTTGTGCAATCTTGCGTTATGGTCTGGCCCTGGGGTGCAGAGAGATGCGAGCCGTTCATTCATGAAACGGATGACTCAAACAGCAGTGAATAGCTTGCTGATGTAGCCAGCCAGCCTAGACAAGGTGAAGAGAAAGGAGCATGTCTTCTTGTTTTTCCTCCTCAAGAGGTCTTCTTTCTCCATTTTCAGTCATGATATGAGCAATAGTCTACACATCAATGCAATCCTGACTGCTTTTTTACATTTTTATATCAACAATGGAATGAGATGATAGTCTAGTGAAGATACATTCATCCTATTAGCTTGATTGGCCACACACTCACAGTGATAACAAAACATATTGACTGACTGACAGGACTGTGGTAACTGTCCATGATGGGGATGTGGACCAAACAGTGTTCTGTCGATCAAGGCGCAGCTGAAGGATGGTCAGAGAGGAGAGAATGTTACATATGTCTGAGCCTGCTCCACATCTATCTCACTGTGTGATGCATCCAGGGATGATGTCACCATGCTACCCTATTGCCACAGTTGCTCGCGGGTCTGTGTATCCACATTCATACCCCCCCACCACACCACATTGCCATCAAAACATTGTAGTGTCTCCCCTCTTGACAGTGGAGATACATTTGTTTTACGTTTTATAGTTAATTTCGTGCAATTCTACACATTTTGCCATAGGGTGGAGAGAAATGTTTAATATTATATCTGAGTGAGACTGACAAAATCAATGGGGGCCCCCCAGCAGGTAATTCTATGATAATAACAAGTTTAGATAGTTTTGCAGCCAGATAATCTAAAACATTTTAGCTGATATGTGCTAAATGACTGACTGTCAGTGACTTACATAACAAGAGAAAAACTGCTAATGCAAAACCAAATTTAGAAATTGCACCTTGTGTATTCTAACTCGCAACAGTAAGTTGAGACCCCGAATTAGTTGCTAAATTGAAACTGGAAATTGATCAGAGGGCCTTCATGCGGCCCATGGGCTGCCAGTTGCCCATCCCTGATTTACACAATGGGACCTCTTATGCATTTGCCTGTTGTCTGTTCTATTCTGGATTTTGACTTACACAGTCTAGTGCATTTTAGAGTTGGAGAACACCCACTACAGATGCATGTGCTTGTATGAGCATTTTTATTCATTATTGTCTCCCACTTTTGTCTCCCAATGATCTATTCACCAAGTCCTGCAGTGTGAACTAGCCCTGCCGTCACTATTTAGAGATTGAGAGCACATATGCATTTGCCTGTTGTCTTTTATTTGTGGGTTAAGAGCGTTGGGCCAGTAACCGAAAAGTTGCTAGGTGAAAAATCTGTCTGTGCCCTTGAGCAAGGCACTTAACCCTAGTTCCTCCTGTAAGTCACTCTGGATAAGAGCGTCTGCTAATTTACTCAAATGTAAATGTCTCTCTCTACATCGGGCAGCTACGTTGGTGACCAGGGTGGGATCTAGGGCTGGGCGGTATACTGTATTTTACGATATACCGTTATTGATGCATGGACCGGTTTGGGATTTTACTTGAAATGCTATATTGGTATTTGAATGTTTGTTAAAATGGGATACGCCGTGTGTAACGTCCATTTTTATAGTTTACTAAGCTACTTGAGGCATCTCTCTCTCCTACTTGAGGCATCTCTCTCTCCTACTTGAGGCACCTCTCAATTTCAATTTCAATTTAAGGGGCTTTATTGGCATGGGAAACGTATGTTAACATTGCCAAAGCAAGTGAAGTAGATAGTAAACAAAAGTGAAATAAACAATAAATATTAACAGTAAACATTACACTCAGAAGTTCCAAAAGAATAAAGACATTTCAAATGTCATATTATGTATATATACAGTGTTGTAACAATGTGCAAATAGTTTAAAGTACAAATGGGAAAATAAATAAACATAAATATGGGTTGTATTTACAATGGTTGCAGCTGTGTTGGCACACTGTGGTTTTTCACCCAGTAGGTAAGGGAGTTTATCAAAATTGGGTTTGTTTTCAAATTCTTTGTAGATCGCTGTAATCTGAGGGAAATATGTGTCTCTAATATGGTCATACATTTGGCAGGAGGTTAGGAAGTGCAGCTCAGTTTCCACCTCATTTTGTGGGCAGTGTGCACATAGCCTGTCTTCTCTTGAGAGCTTCTCTTTTTTTGTTTGTTCTTTCCAATGTGTCAAGTAATTCTCTTTTTGTTTTCTCATGATTTGGTTGGGTCTAGTTGTGTTGTTGTTGTTGTTGTTGTCCTGGGGCTGTGTGGGGTCTGTTTGTGTTTGTGAACAGAGCCCCAGGACAAGCTTACTTAGGGGACTCTTCTCCAAGTTCATCTCTCTGTAGGTGATGGCTTTGTTATGGAAGGTTTGGGAATCGCTTCCTTTTAAGTGGTTATAGAATTTAACGGCTCTTTTCTGGATTTTGATAATTAGCGGGTATTGGCCTAATTCTGCTCTGCATGCATTATTTGGTGTTTTACGTTGTACACGGAGGATGTTTTTGCAGAATTCTGCATGCAGAGTCTCAATTTGGTGTTTGTCCCATTTTGTGAATTCTTGGTTGGTGAGCGGACCCCAGACCTCAGAACCATAAAGGGCAATGGGTTCTATAACTGATTCAAGTATTTTTAGCCAGATCCTAATTGGTATGTCAAATTTTATGTTCCTTTTGATGGCATAGAAGGCCCTTCTTGCCTTGTCTCTCAGATCGTTCACAGCTTTGTGGAAGTTACCTGTGGCGCTGATGTTTAGGCCAAGGTATGTATAGTTTTTTGTGTGCTCTAGGGCAACGGTGTCTAGATGGAATTTGTATTTGTGGTACTGGCAACTGGACCTTTTTTGGAACACCATTATTTTTGTCTTACTGAGATTTACTGTCAGGGCCCAGGTCTGACAGAATCTGTGCAGAAGATGTAGGTGCTGCTGTAGGCCCTCCTTGGTTGGTGACAGAAGCACCAGATCATCAGCAAACAGAAGACATTTGACTTCAGATTCTAGTAGGGTGAGGCCGGGTGCTGCAGACTGTTCTAGTGCCCTCGCCAATTCGTTGATATATATGTTGAAGAGGGTGGGGCTTAAACTGCATCCCTGTCTCACCCCACGGCCCTGTGGAAAGAAATGTGTGTGTTTTTTGCCAATTTTAACCGCACACTTGTTGTTTCTGTACATGGATTTTATAATGTCGTATGTTTTTCCCCCAACCCCACTTTCCATCAATTTGTATAGCAGACCCTCATGCCAAATTGAGTCAAAAGCTTTTTTGAAATCAACAAAGCATGAGAAGACTTTGCCTTTGTTTTGGTTTGTTTGTTTGTCAATTAGGGTGTGCAGGGTGAATACGTGGTCTGTCGTACGGTAATTTGGTAAAAAGCCAATTTGACATTTGCTCAGTACATTGTTTTCACTGAGGAAATGAACTAGTCTGCTGTTAATGATAATGCAGAGGATTTTCCCAAGGTTGCTGTTGACGCATATCCCACGGTAGTTATTGGGGTCAAATTTGTCTCCACTTTTGTGGATTGGGGTGATCAGTCCTTTGTTCCAAATCTCGGTGCTGCTGATCACACAGACCTAGCCTCGCCCCCTGTCACTCAAGGAGCGCATTTGTTTTTCCTCCACCACGAGACACTTGCGTTCAGTCTGCATGGTCAATGCAACACATGCAACAATGCTGTTTTCACTTTACTTCTTAACATAACATTACATTTACATTTTAGTCATTTACATTTTAGCCACTAAGCTACCTGCCGCCCTATAACTCCACTAGCGTTCCATAATTACACTATTAGTTTGTGTTTCTTATGGTACATCTGCAAACAGCTAGTTGGGCCTAAATCTTGTTAGCCGCTAATGCTAATCGTTAGTTAGCTGGCTAGCTAGCTAGCTAATAAATGTACTGAGTCAGCACAAACGTAATTAGCTATACAGCCTGATAATACCAGTGATGGTGTAGACCTAAATCAGCATGTTGTTTGTTCAACAGTATCTTATAAAGCAAAGAGGAATGCGCAAAGGATGAATATGTTAGCTACATTAAGTAGCTAAGAGAAAACAGTCAATGTTGGCAAAGATTACTTTGGTTCCCACCCTGTCACAATAACTCCTCCCTGGCATTTTCATTAGTTGACATGTCAAACAACACTGTATTCAAAGTGCACACTATTATATTCTAACTATAGAATTAGAATAATCATTCTATTCCCATGATTCCAACAGTTCACCCAAGTGTTTTGCTCTAAATTGCAAATTGCAACATTTAGTTAAAAATAAGGCATAGATTGTTTGCCCATATTCTGCAGCACTATGTGGCAGTGTGGAAATGCAGAAATTGATGAAAATGCTGAAAATTATTTTGGGTTGAATTGAACAGTATAAAACAATCAGAATGGAGAAAGACTCATTGAAATCACTTAGAATGTACAGTACCAGTCAAAAGTTTGGACACACTTACTAATTCAAGGGTTGTTCTTTATTTTTACTGTTTTCTACATTGTAGAATAATAGTGAAGACATCACAACTATGAAATAACACATATAGAATCATGTAGTAACCAAAAAAGTGTTAAACAAATCAAAATATATTTTATATTTGAGATTCTTCAAATAGCCACCATTTGCCTTGATGACAGCTTTGCACACTCTTGGCATTCTGCGCGGCACCTTCAGCATTCAAATGCTAAAATGGCTTGCGTGATATTAGGCTTTATTAGTTGAGTGACAACCTATGTCATTTGCTAGGTTATTGTTATCAATGCGCTATTATTTTACCGGAATAAAAGTAGGCTACTGGAGACACAACTCTCATCTGGCTATACCTGCTGAACGGGGCTTATACAATAGATTTTGTTTGGATTGTTCAGGTTCACCATCAGTAATAGTTTTGCTTTAAACAATCAGTGTATATGGTCATTTTTAGATATATAGGGTAAAGTTGATAATTTCATAACTAGGATACCAATCACTTCTGCGAGGCGCACTGCATGGCGGAAGCGAGAAGAGAAGATCACGCCCTAAAAACATCCAAACAGTCAAAACCATTAGATTTTGAGATGGAGGTGAAATCCAAAGTTGTGCTATATATTCATTGGCTATGTCATAGCTAATTTGTGTAAACGATAAATATTTATACATTACTAGCTCAAACACTTAATCTGCAAAAATGACAAGTTAATTAGTGGGTGATGGTGATTTAGTCAGCTCAGACAGATCCAGCTAAGCGAGGCCCAGCTCATGAGCTCCATCAGCAGAATATTTTAATTTTAGAATGGAAAATTAATGTTTATGCAACAAATGTTAGTGCATCGCATCGATTCATTCTCTAGTCAAACCAAATCCCACCAAATAATTTCAAACTAAAAAGTATCGTTCCTGTATCGTATCGGAGCCCATGTGTCTAGATACATATCGAATCGTCTTGAAAGGGAAAGATGCACATCCCTAACATGTTGCTGACACTTAAGGCTTCCACATGCTTCGGTTTGGCTGGCACCTAGCCGCACTCGGCTAGTTGAACCGAAAAAGTGTGCTCACATACTCCCTTAAAAGACCTTCGCTTGAAAGACGAGAAAAAAGCTGCAATAGTCCATCTTGAGGTGCCGTAGCCAGTATGCACTTCCTCAAAATAGTCAGAATTAATCTAAAATAACTCAAGAAATTGGTCATTAATTTAGAAGTTTTTGCCAAGGAGATCTTAGTCGCGCAATTTTACATCTAACTAATATGTTGGGTGCAGTATTTCTCAAGTGACAAATATTTTAGCATTAAAACGAGTCGTCTATCGTTGAATGACAACAAACACTTCATTGAAGAATCCCTACTGTTGACCAATGACCGATGAAGGGGCATAGACTTCGGCTACCGAAATTCGTCTTGCCTCGAGATTTTTTGTTGTTGTTACACAAACAGCCGAAAAAACCTGGAATGGAAAGTGCTTACTTGGCCCTTCAGTCTCTCTGACTGTGATTGTGTCATCATGGCAGGAGCCTTGTCATTAACTTGATTTGGTGCAAACAATACCCACCCCCCTCTGCTCAGCATTACACCATAGGCCAATGGGGTCATTCTATTGTATGGGGTTTCTGTTTGCTGCCCCTCCTCGGTATATGTCACGGTTGGCTGGGGCATGCTGTCACGTGCTGCCTCCCTGTGCCACTGCCAGTACAACCCTGCCTAGCGGAATGAAAACATCTCCTATTAACCTAGATTCATTTGGAAAGCAGCAGCTCTTTTTATTCAAGTCTTACAATGCACCATCCATTCCACATAGCCTAACAATTTAGGCTAGAACCTTTTACGTTAGTTGGAGTTGTGGTCATTATTCAAGCTCAGTGTCTCTCCGTAGCTCAAGGGCAAAGAAATCAAGCCTTTTCAGTCATGTGAGCTTGAATAGTGTAATTTTTTTTGGCTACTCACTCACACTAAGGGTTCATGTGGATAAAGAAAGCCTGGAAACTATCTCTCTGAACTTGAGTAGAAAATAGGTCTCATGTTTTAGTGGGAGTGGGCTACCTCACATGATAACTGTGTTCTAGTATTCGTTTGACTGTTTTGTCAGTCAGTGTGTCATTCAGTGTCACAGAGGCCTATCTGATTTGAAACCCAAGAAACCTGTGTTGGTTATTGTCTAAGATGTCCTCTCTTCCCCCGCATCTCTCTCTCACAAACAATGATGCACACAAAGCAATTAAAGGCCAGCTGTCCTGGGCTTTACACACACACACGCTTCCCTTGGCATTAGTGTGAGTGATGGGGGAACTGAACACGTCTAAAGGGATTTTAACTAATTGTTCCTTCTTTATTTCTCTCCTTCCTCCGACTGCAGAAGACGGATTGGGAGGTGGCTGTCAAGAGCATTAACAAGAAGAACCTCTCCAAGTCCCAGATCCTGCTTGGCAAGGAAATCAAAATCCTCAAAGTGAGTAGTATGCTTAACCTAATTGCTTCTCACTTACAGTGGGGAAAAAAGTATTTAGTCAGCCACTATTTGTGCAAGTTCTCCCACTTAAAAAGATGAGAGAGGCCTGTAATTTTCATCATAGGTACACGTCAACTATGAAAGACAAATTGAGAAAAAGAAATCCAGAAAATCACATTGTAGGATTTTTTATGAATTTATTTGCAAATTATGGTGGAAAATAAGTATTTGGTCACCTACAAACAAGCAAGATTTCTGGCTCTCACAGACTTGTAACTTCTTCTTTAAGAGGCTCCTCTGTCCTCCACTCGTTACCTGTATTAATGGCATCTGTTTGAACTTGTTATCAGTATAAAAGACACCTGTCCACAACCTCAAACAGTCACACTCCAAACTCCACTATGGCCAAGACCAAAGAGCTGACAAAGGACACCAGAAACAAAATTGTAGACCTGCACCAGGCTGGGAAGACTGAATCTGCAATAGGTAAGCAGCTTGGTTTGAAGAAATCAACTGTGGGAGCAATTATTAGGAAATGGAAGACATACAAGACCACTGATAATCTCCCTCGATCTGGGGCTCCACGCAAGATCTCACCCCGTAGGGTCAAAATGATCACAAGAACGGTGAGCAAAAATCCCAGAACCACACGGGGGGACCTAGTGAATGACCTGCAGAGAGCTGGGACCAAAGTAACAAAGCCTACCATCAGTAACACACTACGCCGCCAGGGACTCAAATCCTGCAGTGCAAGACGTGTCCGCCTGCTTAAGCCAGTACATGTCCAGGGCTGTCTGAAGTTTGCTAGAGTGCATTTGGATGATCCAGAAGAGGATTGGGAGAATGTCATATGGTCAGATGAAACCAAAATAGAACTTTTTGGTAAAAACTCAACTCGTCGTGTTTGGATGACAAAGAATGCTGAGTTGCATCCAAAGAACACCATACCTACTGTGAAGCATGGGGGTGGAAACATCATGCTTTGGGGCTGTTTTTCTGCAAAGGGACCAGGACGACTGATCCGTGTAAAGGAACGAATGAATGGGGCCATGTATCGTGAGATTTTGAGTGAAAACCTCCTTCCATCAGCAAGGGCATTGAAGATGAAACGTGGCTGGGTCTTTCAGCATGACAATGATCCCAAACACACCGCCCGGGCAACGAAGGAGTGGCTTCGTAAGAAGCATTTCAAGGTCCTGGAGTGGCCTAGCCAGTCTCCAGATCTCAACCCCATAGAAAATCTTTGGAGGGAGTTGAAAGTCTGTGTTGCCCAGCGACAGCCCCAAAACATCACTGCTCTAGAGGAGATCTGCATGGAGGAATGGGCCAAAATACCAGCAACAGTGTGTGAAAACCTTGTGAAGACTTACAGAAAACGTTTGACCTGTGTCATTGCCAACAAAGGGTATATAACAAAGTATTGAGAAACTTTTGTTATTGACCAAATACTTATTTTCCACCATAATTTGCAAATAAATTCATTAAAAATCCTACAATGTGATTTTCTGGATTTTTTTTTCTCATTTTGTCTGTCATAGTTGACGTGTACCTATGATGAAAATTACAGGCCTCTCTCATCTTTTTAAGTGGGAGAACTTGCACAATTGGTGGCTGACTAAATACTTTTTTCCCCCACTGTATCTTGGAAACATATTTAAAGAATGATCGATCCTCCATAAGTCAGCATGTTTGACTGAAAGGCGTTGACTTCCTTGTTATAAATGTAAATAGAAGCCAGTCGTCACGTCAACAGGACAGTAGCTAATGCATCACTAATGTACTTGTTTTCTTCATTACTTTTCCCAGGAACTTCAGCATGAGAACATTGTGGCGCTTTATGATGTCCAGGTAAGTCCTTAAATGGCTAGAAGCAAATGATTTGAGTCATTATAACTAGCAAAATGGGACAGTGCAGGGGCAGGGCAATAGAGCAGCATACCAGCAGAACACTCCCAATCACTAGCTGACCAGTGAGCCAGACAGACAGACACATTAGAATGGGTTGCCAAGCTCCTGAGTATAACTTTTCTCTGTTTGTCCGGTCCATGTGGAGTTGGCTGCAAATGTCCAGAGCAGAAGTCTGTGTGTAAAGTCAGTGGACATGATGTGTAACCATTAACTCACACAGACCACTGACTGGTGGGCCAAGGTTGTGACCACTGACTGACTGGTGGAGCTGTGGAGCTTCTCAGTCACATGACACCACATGACTGGCCATGGTTACACCAGCAGCATGCATTGTACCGCCCATCATCTCCGCTGGTCGCCAATCAGCACTCAACACCGACCGTCCTCAGTGATGTAACAGGCCCGGGGGGCAGGGTCGTCCAAGGTGGGAGACAAAATGGCCGCCACCAAAGGTCAGGCGTTAGTCTAGCTCACCATGACCTTACTTCATGGTGACTACTAGACCTGTAGCTTTGGTTCAGCATGGAAATCACTGAGCGCCTGATATAAAAGAACAGGAAATGGCCTTTGAAACACCAGCTCAGCCCTCCTCAGTCCATGAGCGTTTTGTGTGTGTGGGTTTCATTGTTCACTCCATGGTTAGCAGGTAGCACTATGAGTCTCTCTGCGTTCTCTAGCTATAAAAAGCCTTTCCGGTAGTGTTCCACCCAATAGGGAGAGATGGGAAAAGTGGTACAGAGAGAGCTATTGAAGTGATGATCAAGCAGCGCTGCCCACACGGTGAGGCACTTCCTGTGTTTATGTAAGCCTCCCACCGCGACCCTGCTGCTCTATCCATCCGGCCCTCCTCCCGTCATCCCTCCGTCCGCGCCCCTGATGTAATCACCACTTATAGAGTCAGACGTTTCCGTTATGCTAAAGTCCCTTATCAATGCTGAACAGACTGGATGAATGGAAGTAGGTTAAACCCACTATTACAGGCACTAGGTGCCGATATCTTTTCATACCCCTTATGATTAAGATTAGGATTGGGGGTCAGGGAATCTGATTCTAGATATGTGGTTAGGGGGAGGGGCAACTTCTACCTGGAAGTGAATAGGAATGCCACAGAACACTCACCATAACTGAAGACACTGATTTGTTTTTTTGTGTAACGTGTCTTAGTCAGTCTCTCTCTCTCTCCTCTCCTCTCCCCCCATTGTCAGGGCTGTACTCTCCCTGGGCCATCTCTTGCCTCTGCAGCTGTCGCCTTTGGCACACAGGCAGTGGGGCTTAGAGATGCCGTCTGAAAGGAAAGAGAGGAGAGACAGCGGCTTTGGCGTTTAGAGGGAGACGAAGATAGTGTTGCAGTGTTATTGATGGGTGTTAGGCCTCCAAGCATCCTCTCTTTCTAGGCTTTCTTTTCACTCTCTGTCTCTCTTTCTATTGCACTCTCTCTCATTTCTCTTCTTTGTTTCTTCCCACAGTCTTTGTTTCTTTAGTCCTCTCTCTCTCTCTCCCTCCCTCTCTCCTCCCCTCCCTCTCTCTCTCCCTCCCTCTCTCCTCCCCTCCCTCTCTCTCTCCCTCCCTCTCTCCTCCCCTCCCTCTCTCTCTCCCTCCCTCTCTCCTCCCCTCCCTCTCTCCTCCCCTCCCTCTCTCCTCCCCTCCCTCTCTCCTCCCCTCCCTCTCCAGTCACAGTCTTGGCCTTTCTGTCTGGTGTTATGTTGTTGTTTATTCCCCTGTCTGTGACCATCTGAATGTGCTGCCTGACCGTAATGGAGAAGAGTGGGCGACCGCTGGCTTCTGGCCTTGTGGCTGCTAGGTTTCTCTCTCCCTATCTTTCTCCTCTCTCTTTCCCTTCCTCCCTGTCTTTCACCTCTCTCTTTCCCTTCCTCCCTGTCTTTCTCCTCTCTCTTTCCCTTCCTCCCTGTCTTTCTCCTCTCTCTTTCCCTTCCTCCCTGTCTTTCTCCTCTCTCTTTCCCTTCCTCCCTGTCTTTCTCCTCTCTCTTTCCCTTCCTCCCTGTCTTTCTCCTCTCTCTTTCCCTTCCTCCCTGTCTTTCTCCTCTCTCTTTCTCTATCCATTCTGTCGACTCTCTCCCTCTCCCACTATCTTTCTCTCTCTCTTAATTTCAATTCAATTCAAGGGCTTTATTGGCATGGGAAACATATGGTAACATTGCCAAAGCAAGTGAAGTAGATAATAAACAAAAGTGAAATAAACAATAAAAATGAACAGTAAACATTACACCCACAAAAGTTTCAAAAGAATAAAGACATTTCAAATGTCAAATTATGTGCAAATAGTTAAAGTACAAAAGGGAAAATAAATAAATATAAATATTGGTTGTATTTACAATGGTGTTTGTTCTTCACTGGTTGCCCTTTTCTTGTGGCAACTAATCTCTCTCTCTCTCTCTCTCTCTCTCTCTCTCCTTTTTATTTCTCTCCATGTCTCTCTCTAGCCATTCTCTCGCTCTCTCTCTCTCTCTCTGCTAGTGGGCCTCTGCCCAGCCTCTTCAGCTGTTCTGGCTTGCACCACGTGCTCTGTGTCACTTAGTTTACCCAGAGAGCTGTAAATGACAGGGCTAGTGCAACAACCACCAGACAGAGTTACGGAAGTGTCCTGGGGGGGCATTGGGGCACCCTCTCCCTCTGACTGATGCTATTGTCGGCTAGAGCTGGCTAGGTCACTGTTGTGAGACAAATGCCTAAAACAGCTGCCACCCTATCTTTCCAATAGAAGATGGCTTTTCCTGATTGCTATAATTCTAATAGTTCGGCTTATTTCAGTTTATGTGACAAAACAAGCACTGAGAAAGGCCAATTAAGCAAGTGTGGTCTGTTTGCAGTCAACGGTCATTAGCTGAGGGTAGGAGCACTGTCACTGGGTGTTTGTAGGAGTGTGAGGTGGTGCCTCGTTAGAGAACGCTGCTGGGGAACATTGATCTTTGAAAGGCCCGCTGCACGGTGAGAGCTCCTTTTAGATCTCAATGCGGGCAAAACATACAGCCTAGCCTATAGACACACACATCACAGACGTTGTGATATCAATCATTCATTTGTAGTATACAGTGCACCCAATGATCAAATCAAATCAAATCAAATCAAATTTTATTGGTCACATGCGCCGAATACAACAGGTGCAGACATTACAGTGAAATGCTTACTTACAGCCCTTAACCAACAGTGCATTTATTTTAAACAAAAAAGTAAGAATAAAACAACAACAAAAAAGTGTTGAGAAAAAAAGAGCAGAAGTAAAAATAAAGTGACAGTAGGGAGGCTATATATACAATAGAATAAAGTGACAGTAGGGAGGCTATATATACAGGGGGGTACCGTTGCATAGTCAATGTGCGGGGGCACCGGCTAGTTGAGGTAGTTGAGGTAATATGTACATGTGGGTAGAGTTAAAGTGACTATGCATAAATACTTAACAGAGTAGCAGCAGCGTAAAAAGGATGGGGTGGGGGGGCAGTGCAAATAGTCCGGGTAGCCATGATTAGCTGTTCAGGAGTCTTATGGCTTGGGGGTAGAAGCTGTTGAGAAGTCTTTTGGACCTAGACTTGGCACTCCGGTACCGCTTGCCGTGCGGTAGCAGAGAGAACAGTCTATGACTAGGGTGACTGGAGTCTTTGACAATTTTGAGGGCCTTCCTCTGACACCGCCTGGTATAGAGGTCCTGGATGGAAGGGAGCTTTGCCCCAGTGATGTACTGGGCCGTACGCACTACCCTCTGTAGTGCCTTGCGGTCAGAGGCCAAGCAGTTGCCATACCAGGCGGTGATGCAACCAGTCAGGATGCTCTCGATGGTGCAGCTGTAGAATTTTTTTTTGATCTGAGGACCCATGCCAAATCTTTTTAGTCTCCTGAGGGGGAATAGGCTTTGTCGTGCCCTCTTCACGACTGTCTTGGTGTGTTTGGACCATGATAGTTCGTTGGTGATGTGGACACCAAGGAACTTGAAGCTCTCAACCTGTTCCACTACAGCCCCGTCGATGAGAATGGGGGCGTGCTCAGTCCTCTTTTTTTTCCTGTAGTCCACAATCATCTCCTTTGTCTTGGTCACGTTGAGGGAGAGGTTGTTGTCCTGGCACCACACGGCCAGATCTCTGACCTCCTCCCTATAGGCTGTCTCATCGTTGTCGGTGATCAGGCCTACCACTGTTGTGTCGTCGGCAAACTTAATGATGGTGTTGGAGTCGTGCCTGGCCATGCAGTCATGGGTGAACAGAGAGTACAGGAGGGGACTGAGCACGCACCCCTGAGGGGCCCCCGTGTTGAGGATCAGTGTGGCAGATGTGTTGTTACCTACCCTTACCACCTGGGGGCGGCCCGTCAGGAAGTCCAGGATCCAGTTGCAGAGGGAGGTGTTTAGTCCCAGGATCCTTAGCTTAGTGATGAGCTTTGAGGGCACTATGGTGTTGAATGCTGAGCTGTAGTCAATGAATAGCATTCTCACGTAGGTGTTCCTCTTGTCCAGGTGGGAAAGGGCAGTGTGGAGTGCGATAGAGATTGCATCATCTGTGGATCTGTTGGGGCGGTATGCAAATTGGAGTGGGTCTAGGGTTTCTGGGATTATGCTGTTGATGTGAGCCATGACCAGTCTTTCAAAGCACTTCATGGCTACAGACGTCAGTGCTACGGGTCGGTAGTCATTTAGGCAGGTTATCTTAGAGTTCTTGGGCACGGGGACTATGGTGGTCTGCTTGAAACATGTTGGTATTACAGACTCAGTCAGGGACATGTTGAAAATGTCAGTGAAGACACTTGCCAGTTGGTCAGCACATGCTCGGAGTACACGTCCTGGTAATCCGTCTGGCCCTGCGGCCTTGTGAATGTTGACCTGCTTAAAAGTCTTACTCACATCGGCTACGGAGAGCGTGATCACATAGTCGTCCGGAACAGCTGGTGCTCTCATGCATGCTTCAGTGTTGCTTGCCTCGAAGCGAGCATAGAAGTGGTTTAGCTCGTCTGGTAGGCTTGTGTCACTGGGCAGCTCGCGGCTGTGCTTCCCTTTGTAGTCTGTAATAGTTTTCAAGCCCTGCCACATCCGACGAGCGTCAGAGCCAGTGTAGTATGATTCAATCTTAGACCTGTATTGACTCTTTGCCTGTTTGATGGTTCGTCGGAGGTCATAGCGGGATTTCTTATAAGCGTCCGGGTTAGAGTCCCGTTCCTTGAAAGCGGCAGCTCTACCCTTTAGCTCAGTGCGGATGTTTCCTGTAATCCATGGCTTCTGGTTGGGGTATGTACGTACGGTCACTGTGGGGACGACATCATCGATGCACTTATTGATGAAGCCAGTGACTGATGTGGTGTACTCCTCAATGCTGTCTGAAGAATCCCGGAACATGTTCCAGTCTGTGCTAGCAAAACAGTCCTGTAGCTTAGCATCTGCGTCATCTGACCACTTTTTTATTAGCCGAATCACTGGTGCTTCCTGCTTCAGTTTTTGCTTATAAGCAGGAATCAGGAGGATAGAGTTATGGTCAGATTTGCCAAATGGAGGGCGAGGGAGAGCTTTGTATGCGTCTCTGTGTGTGGAGTAAAGGTGGTCTAGAGTTTTTTCCCCTCTGGTTGCACATTTAACATGCTGGTAGAAATGAGGTAGAACGGATTTAAGTTTCCCTGCATTAAAGTCCCCTGCTACTAGGAGCGCTGCATCTGGATGAGCGTTTTCCTGTTGATTAATGGCCTTGTACAACTCATTCAGTGCAATCTTAATGCCAGCATTGGTTTGTGGTGGTAAATAGACAGCTATGAAAAATATAGATGAAAACTCTCTTGGTAAATAGTGTGGTCTACAGCTTATCATAAGATACTCTACCTCAGGCGAGCAAAACCTTGAGACTTCCTTAGTATTTGATTTTGTGCACCAGCTGTTGTTTACAAATATACAGAGACCGCCACCCCTCGTCTTACCCGAGTCTGCCGTTCTGTCCTGCCGATGTAGCGTATAGCCTGCTAGCTGAATGTTGTCATTGTTGTCGTTCAGCCACGACTCCGTGAAACATAAGATATTACAGTTTTTAATGTCCCGTTGGTAGGATAACCGTAATCTTAAATCGTCCATTTTATTCTCCAAAGCTTGAACGTTGGCTAATAGGATTGATGGGAGAGGCAGTTTACTCGTTCGCCGTCGGATCCTTACAAGGCACCCGGATCTGCGTCCACGATATCTCCGTCTCTTCCTCACGCGAATGACGGGGATCTGGGCCTTGTCGGGAGTCTGTAGAATATCCTTCGCGAACGCCTCGTTGAAGAAAAAGTGTTCGTCCAACGCGAGGTGAGTAATCGCTGTCCTGATATCCAGAAGCTCTCTTTGGTTATAAGAGACGATGGCAGAAACATTATGTACAAAATAAATTACAAATAACGCGGAAAAACACACATAATAGTACAATTGGTTAGAGGGCTGTAAAACGGCAGCCATCTTCTTCCGGCGCTGTTTTAGTATACACAGAGACCTCCACTCATACACACACAGCATGCACACTCAAATTAATTAATCTGTCATGGCTCAACACACACACAGCAATCACTAGTACACACACACACATTTAGGCACACACACTCACAACTCCTCAATCAATCACGCACACACACGCGCTCGCACACAATCACACTGTGGCTTTTCCTGGTCTTCTGGCCTACACCATCTGCTAATACCACAGTGACATATTAGTGTGAATGTGGTCTCTAACCAAGCACTGAGTAGTTTCACACACATTCTTTGTGAACACGTGCGTGTGAGATTTCTGACTGTTTCTACCTCCTTCTGCACGTATTGCAAGTCACTCTGGAAACGAAACCAACGACTCAATATGCAGTGCATTCGGAAAGTATTCAGGCTCCTTGACTTTTTCCACATTTTGTTATGTTACTGCCTTATTCTAAAATTGATGAAATAATTTTTTTTCCTCATCAATCTACATGCAATACTCCATAATGACAAAGCGAAAAGTTATTTTGAAATTTTAGCTAATTTATTAAAAATTAAAAACAGATACCTTATTTACATAAGTATTCAGACCCTTTGTTATGAGATTGGAAATTGAGCTCAGGTGCATCCTGTTTCCATTGATCATCCTTGATGTTTCTACAACTTGATTCGAGTCCACCTGTGGTAAATTCAATTGATTGGACATGATTTGGATAGGCACACACCTTTCTATATAAGGTCCCACAGTTGACAGTGCATGTCAGAGCAAAAACCAAGCCATGAGGTCAAAATAATTGTCTGTAGAGCTCCGAGACAGGATTGTGTCGAGGCACAGATCTGGGGAAGGGAACCAAAACATTTCTGCAGCATTGAAGGTCCCCAAGAACATAGTGGTGTCCATCATTCTTAAATGGAAGAAGTTTGGAACCACTAAGACTCTTCCTAGAGCTGGCCAACCTGAGCAATGGGGCAGAAGGGCCTTGGTCAGGGAGGTGACCAAGAACCTGATGGTCACTCTGACAGAGCTCCAGAGTTCCTCTGTGGAGATGGAAGAACCTTACAGAATGACAACCATCTCTGCATTGCTCCACCAATTAGGCCTTTATGGTAGAGTGGCCAGACGGAAGCCACTGCTCAGTAAAAGGCACATGAGAGCCCGCTCGGAGTTTGCGAAAAGGCACCTAAAGGACTCTCAGACCATGAGAAACAAGATTCTCTGGTCTGATGAAACCAAGATTGAACTCTTTGGCTTGAATGCCAAGCGTCACGTCTGGAGGAAACCTGGCACCAACCCTACGGTGAAGCATGGTGGTGGCAGCATCATGCTGTGGGGATGTTTTTCAGCGGCAGGGATTGGTAGACTAGTCAGTATCAAGGGAAAGATCAACGGAGCAAAGTACAGAGAGGTCCTTGATGAAAACGTGCTCCAGAGCGCTCAGGAACTGAGACTGGGGCGAAGGTTCACCATCCAACAGGACAATTTAATCCATTTTAGAATAAGGCTGTAACGTCACAATGTGGAAAAAGTCAAGGGGTCTGAATATCAATCAATCAATCAATCAATCAAATTGTATTTATAAAGCCCTTTTTACATCAGCAGATGTCACAAAGTGCTATACAGAAACCCAGCCTAAAACCCCAAACAGCAAGCAATGCAGATGTAGAAGCACGGTGGCTAGGAAAAACCCCCTAGAAAGGCAGAAACCTAGGAAGAAACCTAGAGAGGAACCAGGCTCTGAGAGGTGGCCACTCCCCTTCTGGCTGTGCCGGGTGGAGATTGTAACACTACATGTTCATGAAGGCCAGATTTTTCAGAATACTTGCCGAACGTACTGTAACTGTAATTAATTTGAGTGTTTTTTCATAAAGGAGTCATGTTTATTAAGCCAGTATGGGTGTAGGAGTAGGGCTGGATGACGGGAAGGTTACAGGGCTTACAGTGAGGGGAAAAAAGTATTTGATCCCCTGCTGAGTTTGTACGTTTGCCCACTGACAAAGAAATGATCCGTCTATAATTTTAATGGTAGGTTTATTTGAACAGTGAGACAGAATAACAACAAAAAAATCCAGAAAAACGCATGTAAAAAATGTTATAAAATGATTCGAATTTTAATGAGGGAAATAAGTATTTGACCCCCTCTCAATCAGAAAGATTTCTGGCTCCCAGGTGTCTTTTATACAGGTAACGAGCTGAGATTAGGAGCACACTCTTAAAGGGAGTGCTCCTAATCTCAGTTTGTTACCTGTATAAAAGACATCTGTCCACAGAAGCAATCAATCAATCAGATTCCAAACTCTCCACCATGGCCAAGACCAAAGAGCTCTCCAAGGATGTCAGGGACAAGATTGTAGACCAACACAAGGCTGGAATGGGCTACAAGACCATCGCCAAGCAGCTTGGTGAGAAGGTGACATCAGTTGGTGCGATTATTCGCAAATGGAAGAAACACAAAATAACTGTCAATCTCCCTCGGCCTGGGGCTCCATGCAAGATCTCACCTCGTGGAGTTGCAATGATCATGAGAACGGTGAGAAATCAGCCCAGAACTACATGGGAGGATCTTGTCAATGATCTCAAGGCAGCTGGGACCATAGTCACCAAGAAATCAATTGGTAACACACTACGCAGTGAAGGACTGAAATCCTGCAGCGCCCGCAAGGTCCCCCTGCTCAAGAAATCACATATACAGGGCCGTCTGAAGTTTGCCAATGAACATCTGAATGATTCAGAGGAGAACTGGGTGAAAGTGTTGTGGTCAGATGAGACCAAAATCGAGGTCTTTGGCATCAACTCAACTCGCCGTGTTTGGAGGAGGAGGAATGCTGCCTATGACCCCAAGAACACCATCCCCACCGTCAAACATGGAGGTGGAAACATTATGCTTTGGGGGTGTTTTTTTGCTAAGGGGACAGGACAACTTCACCGCATCAAAGGGACGATGGACGGGGCCATGTACCGTCAAATCTTGGGTGAGAAACTCCTTCTCTCAGCCAGGGCATTGAAAATGGGTCGTGGATGGGTATTCCAGCATGACAATGACCCAAAACACACGGCCAAGGCAACAAAGGAGTGGCTCAAGAAGAAGCACATTAAGGTCCTGGAGTGGCCTAGCCAGTCTCCAGACCTTAATCCCATAGAAAATATGTGGAGGGAGCTGAAGGTTCGAGTTGCCAAACGTCAACCTCGAAACCTTAATGACTTGGAGAAGATCTGCAAAGAGGAGTGGAACAAAATCCCTCCTGAGATGTGTGCAAACCTGGTGAACAACTACAAGAAACGTCTGTCCTCTGTGATTGCCAACAAGGGTTTTGCCACCAAGTACAAAGTAATGTTTTGCAGAGGGGTCAAATACTTATTTCCCTCATTAAAATGCAAATCAATTTATAACATTTTTGACATGCGTTTTTCTGGATTTTTTTGTTGTTATTCTGTCTCTCACTGTTGAAATAAACCTACCATTAAAATGATAGACTGATCATGTCTTTGTCAGTGGGCAAACTTACAAAATCAGCAGTGGATCAAATACTTTTTTCCCTCACTGTAGTCAGATTCTAAGGTATTCTGCTCATTAGGCTTATAGCATAATAACAGGCCTGCGCAACACAAGCTAGGCGCTAGGCTACGTCTGTCCCTGCACTTCTTTATGGAGCTGTTATCATTAAGTGGGAGAGGGAGGCAGCAGTGCGATGCAGAGAACAGTAATCACAGGGTAGAGTGTTTCTCTCTCTCTCTCTCTCTCTCTCTGCAGGCTGACACAGCCCACGCTGTACTGTACAGCATAGCTCGGTACATCCCCGCTATTTCATTAAAGGTTCACTGCAGAGATTGAGAGAGGGAGTGTGAGAGTGTGTAAGGGGTACACCAGAATTCCATAAGGCATTTTAATGGATTCGAGACAGATAGTATTTGTCCATCTTGAATTGGCATCTATGACACTAGCCTGGTACACAGCCCACACTGATTCACCAGATGTGAAATAGGAGAGGGAGAGGTTGACAGATAAGAGCCACAAGTAAAATAGATAGAAGAGAGTGAGATGGAGGGAGGGAGGAAAGGAGGTAGGATGCGGGTTTGTTTATGAAGTTGAAGAGTCATTTGTCTGTGAGGCAGTCCCTGGTGGAAGCTTTCAAAACAAAACCTGAACTTTGTCTGAACTCTGGTAGAACACTGTGTCCTAGCATCAGAGAGGGTGTGTGTGTGCGTGCACATGTGTGTGTTGAAAGAAGGGGAGGTAAAGAGAGGTAAAGGGGGTGGGGAGGGGGACTGACTTGATAAAAGAAGGGGTGGGCTCTTGGCAGTAGAACTTGTTCTTGGCGCACATGGGAGATTTCAGGAATTGTATCAAATACACTGCATTCGGAAAGTATTCAGACCCCTTGACTTTTTCCACATTTTGTTACGTTACAGGCTTATCCTAAAATTGATTAAATAAAACATTTTCCTCATCAACCTAAACACAATACCCCACAATGACAAAGCAAAAACAGGTTTTTAGAAATTTTGCACATTTATTTAAAGTAAAAAACAGAAATACCTTATTTACATAAGTTTTCAGACCCTTTGCTAATAGTTTCGAAATTGAGCTCAGGTGCATCCTGTTTCCATTGATCATCCTTGGGATGCTTCTACAACTTGATTGATCCACCTGTGGTAAATTCAATTGATTGGACATGATTTGGAAAGACATGCACTGTCCCACAGTTGACAGTGCATGTCAGAGCAAAAACCAAGCCATGAGGTCGAAGGAATTGTCCGTAGAGCTCCGAGACAGGATTATGTCGAGGCACAGATCTGGGGAAGGGTACCAAACAATTTCTGCAGCATTGAAGGTCCCCAAGAACACAGTGGCCTCCATCATTCTTAAATGGAAGAAGTTTGGAACCACCAAGACACTTCCTAGAGTTGGCCCAAACTGAGCAATCGCGGGAGAAGGGCCTTGGTCAGGGAGGTGGCCAAGAACCTAATGGTCACTCTGACAGAGCTCCAGAGTTCCTCTGTGGAGATGGGAGAACCTTTCAGAAGGACAACCCTCTCTGCAGCACTGAAGACTAGCCAGGATCGAGGGAAAGATTAACGGAGCAAAGTACAGAGAGATCCTTGATGAAAACCTGCTCCAGAGCGCTCAGGACCTCAGACTGGGGCGAAGGTTCAACTTCCAACAGGACAACGACCCTAAGCACACAGCCAAGACAACGCAGGAGTGGCTTCGGGACAAGTCTTTGAATGTCCCTGAGTGGCCCAGCCAGAGCCCAGACTTAAACCCGATCAAACATCTCTGGAGAGACCTGAAAATAGCTGTTCAGCGACGCTTCCCGTACAACCTGAAAGATTATCTGCAGATAAGAATGGGAGAAATTCCCCAAATACAGGTGTGCCAAGCTTGTAGCGTCATACCCAATAAGACTCAAGGCTGTAATCACTGCCAAAGGTGCTTCAACAAAGTATTTATGTAAATATGATATTTCCGGGGGGGTTTCTAAAAAAAATTGTTTTGCTTTGTCATTATGGGGTATTGTGTATAGATTGAGGGGAAAAAATAATTTAAACAATTTTAAAATAAGGCTTTAACGTAACAAAATGTGAAATAAGTAAAGCGGTCTGAATTCTTTCCAAATGCACTGTGCATCAAACACATGGTGTGTTTGATGCCATTCCATTTGCTCTGTTCCAGCCATTATTATGAGCCGTCCTCCCTTCAGCAGCCTCGACTGAGTTAGAAACTCCCACCCAGCACACTCAAATCTTCCACACACACACACATACTGCTTTCACGTAGGAATAACGGTAGTTGCCTGTAAAAAAAAAAGTGCCGAAGTTGGTGGTTATTGGTGGGCATTGGAACACGCTGTCATACACATCGATCCAGAGCAACCCAAACATGCTCAATGGGTGATATGTCTGGTGAGTATGCAGGCCATGGAAGGACTGGGACATTTTCATCTTCTAGGAATTGTGTACATATCCTTGCGACATGGGGCCGTGCATTATCATGCTGAAACATGAGGTGATGGCAGCGGATGAATGGCACGACAATGGGCCTCAGGATCTCGTGACGGTATCTCTGTGCATTCAAATTGCCATTGATGAAATTGTGTTTGTTGTCTGTAGGTTATGCTTGCCCATACCATAACCCCACCGTCGTCATGAAGCACTCTGTTTACAACGTTGACATCAGCAAACTGCTCTCCCACATGGCGCCATACACATGGCCTGCGGTTGTGAGGCCGGTTGGACGTACCGCCAAATTCTCTAAAACGACTTTGGAGGCGGCTTATGGCAGACAAATTAACATTCAATTCTCTGGCAACAGCTCTGGTGGACATTCCTGCAGTCAGCATGCTAATGCACACTCCCTCAAAACTTGAGACATCTGTGGCATTGTGTTGTGTGACAAAACTGCACATGTTAGAGTGGCCTTTTATTGTCCCCAGCACAAGGTATACCTGTGTAATGATCATGCTGTTTAATCAACTTCTTGATATGCCACACCTGTCAGGTGGATGGATTATCTTGGCAAAGGAGAAATGCTCACTAACAGGAATGTTTTACCACCTCCATTTACAGTATTTGCCCAGACAGAAACCAATTGACCAAATAGCCTATACAGATGGAGCTTCAGTAAAACAAAATCAGATTGATTGATTGATTATCAGACAAGTCAGTGAAGTCACAGGCTTTTGGTTGGGAGTAGGCCTAGGCTGCTAAGCGACTGCGAGTGAAGAGCAAAATAATCCACTTGTTAAACTACATAACATGGCAAAATGTTCTAATAAATGAGCCAACTAGTCATGAGCAGTACTCACCTCAACGTAGGTAACATTTCCCCAGCCTAATTGTAGCCTAACCAATATCCAAACGAAGATTCAGTGAAAACAAAAATCTGACAGATTGATTTATCAAGATGAGCCCCCACGCTTGCAAGAGTGGCGCAGTGGTTTGAATCCAGGCTCTGTCGTAGCTGGCCGCGACCGGGAGACCCATGGGGAGGCGCACAATTGGCCCAGCGTCGTCCAGGGTAGGGGAGGGAATGGCCGGCAGGGATGTAGCTCAGTTGGTAGAGCATGGCGTTTGCAACGCCAGGTTTGTGGGTTCGATTCCCACGGGGGGCCAGTATGAAAAAAAAAAAATGTATGCACGTATGAGCGTCTGCTAAATGACAAAAATGTAAAAAAATGTAAGGGCATAGAGTTTAAGAGCGTAGTGTGTGCCAAGGCCACCTCAGCATTATGGCTATGTTTCATACTAAGCCATAGGCAGAACTTTATCGAAATAATTGTTATTTATTTTATTTTACCGGGTAAGTTGACTGAGAACACATTCTCATTTACAGCAACTAGGTCGTTTGGTGTAAATAAAAGGTTAGGTTTTGATACCGGCAATACCTTTCATATATAAAGAAAAGGCGGAAAATAGTTGACGGTATGGTAAAGTATAATACTGTAGCTCTTAGAAAAGCTGGGGGTAGTTTGTGTGCTTTGTTCGTCCTGAGGGAGGGAAAATTATTAGCTTTGTGTCTTATTTGACACACACACACATGCATATTTGGTTATAGGATTTTAACTTCCCATATGTACCAAGCAAGGAGAAAGTGTTATGCTAGAGGCATCTAATTTCAAGATGCTTTTCTGACAACAACAACAGTCTGAGTCAATATTGTCCTGACATTCTTTACTGTACAGTACTGCCTCTGTCTTGTCTTGGCCTAAGGCGAGGGAAGAGGAGCAGGATACCTCTTGTTAGTTGGCCTAATTTCTGGACACTCGTGACCTAAACAGTGATCTCATAGAGGGACAGTGCAAGGTTGTCTCCGATGTGATGCCTTTGCAGGACACAAGTATCCCATAGATACTTGTGTCTCAGAATTCTCAGGACTACTCTGAATTTGAGTAACAGATGTGTGCCGGGTGGATTTCCAGTCCACATATGGAACCCTATTCTCTAATGTCCTCAGCCATTTTAAACTGAGCCCAGCCGGCCCCCTCCCCTCCCCTCCCCTCTCCCACTGTTACCTTCCCCCCTTCGTTCTTATGTAGCCCAGGACTCATGGAGTCAACTGTGTGACGCAACAAGCAGGACAGGCACACTGACAATATGTTGTTGTTTTGGCCCAGCTCTAGAGTTGTGTTGGCATTCTGAACATTTCTGTGAGGTGGAGGGCTGAAGCGGTGGAAAATGGTTGGGGGATGTTTTGAGTTTCCCTCCTCAAGACAACATTTCTTCGAGCTGATGTAGTACTGTTCCTTCTAGTGTTTTCTAGAAGAGCATCGATCAAAGCTCTTTTTTGGCATAACTCTGACTAGATCGCCTCATGACTCAGTGGTTTTCCATCAAACAAGTGGATGGGAATAGAAGGATTGTGAATATGACTGCCTGTGTTTGTGAGGGGCTGCTGATGTTGGATAACAGGAAGCAGAATTGTTTTTAGTTGTTTTGGTGTATTCCTTTGAGGAAGGAGGGTTATGTAGAATAACCCTGTTGGCAGTTGGTCTTGTGTGTCTGTGTCCAAGGTCCATCAATTCTTTAACAGATAGTGTTTTGTGTGACAGTACATTCTGACTCATTGGGTGTCTCCTCTCTTGTGGTAAACGTGTTGATAATAACAACAGCTGTAACCAACCACTGCCTTAGAAAATACTGGACCATGGAAGAGGTTTTGGACTCTATTGTAGGATTGCTTTTATGGTGGCATAGACAGTTCATTGTCAACCTACTGAGGGCTGGAGGATGAACAGGGTTAGGCTGTCCTGTATTTGTACCTCTCACGTATCAGTTACCTTCCCCCTCCAGGACAGTGCCCAGCCTGACCAACTCCCTTCTTTCCTCTCATCCTATTCTTCCTCTCCCAGTCCCCATCTCCCCCATCAACCAGTATAGAGCAGGGGCTGAAAACAGCTCGTTATGTAATCTTCCCCAGGCCTAGACCAGCCACCACACACACACACACACCAGAGCGGATAATGATGGTGGTGGGGCCTCCCTACGTCTCCCCTCCCCCATTGCCACAACCCAACAGCAGCATCCTAGAATCCCATTATCCTATTATCCACAGCCACGAGCCAATGGGATTGGCCAGGGAGGAGGGGGCCCAGCCAATAAGCCTGGTGCAGGCTGACAGGTCAGCTGATAGGAATGAGCTGAAGTGGAATTAATGGGTGGCTGGTTTGCGGAGCGAGGCAGTGGTGGTTGCTCTCCATCTGGAGACCTTGGCTGAGAGACCATTAGAACCAGAGAGTAATGCAGTCCAGTAACTGACTAGTATGGCTGTTGGTGGTCAAGGAATTGATTTTCTGAGACACATTGATTTGTTAGTACGGTACACAGAAAATAATGCAATAAAATGTATTTGAACTCATACGCTCCTTAGAAAGGAAAGAAGCCTTCATACCTAGAATCAATTATGGAAATGGGTTTTGCCTGGCCATGTCACATGGTCACAAGAAACACTTCTGGATCTAATCATAGATAGCCTACTTAGAATGGCGCTGAAGGGATTGGAAAATGTGTGACGACAGTTGTGTTCTTTATGGTTGTTGTTGTTGATGAGAACTTGATGCGCACGCCAAGATGCTTGATCTGCCATATGCTGCAGTACCCTCAACCTGACACCACACACACACACACACACACACACACACACACACACACACACACACACATGGGCAAACACACACCCAAACACTCCCCCTAATACATGTGAGCTTGCTTGCTTAACCTGGAGGCCTGCTTGTGTTACTTGGCTTCTGTCCAGCATCTTCTTAGCTCCTGCATCACCATGTTGACAAGGTGGCTCCTATATCTGTCACATTTCCCAGTTCCCTTGAACACAATACCCCGAACACACACACACCCCAACAACCTCCGCTTGGCCCTGTTGTGTAATGAACTCTATTCCTCTCCCCTCAGAAATGTAGACGGTAGCACGACACAGCTTGGAGGTGAGGGGTTCACTAAGGATGGCACGTTTTCTTGATCTTAACCCCATGTCAGTCGCACAGTGTGAGATGGAGGATGAGGGTGTCAATGTGGTTGTAGATTGGAGTCAGCTATTGTACTGTACGGACCCAATCCAGATCAGTTATGCCATGGGCTTCAGTTCACGCTGAGTGGCAAGGGAATCTTATTCTCCGAACTGTACACATAAGTCGCTCTGGATAAGAGCGTCTGCTAAATGACGTAAATGTAAATGTAATGATCCATCTATACAGCATATGTAGGCTATATCTGTCTGCGCCATACATACATGTCAGTCTGTTTGACGAAGCTGTTCCTCTATGTAGTGGATGTGACTGGTGTTGAGAGAGATGATCACTCTAACCCATGTTATTTCTCTTCTCTCTTCCAGGAAACTCCCAACTCTGTGTTCCTGGTCATGGAGGTAGGTGGAGTGTCACACTGTCAGCATGCAACCTCTTCGACCGAGCTGCCTGTAGGCTGCCAGGGTCTCTGTCTTTGTGTTGATACCTCTTCCCCCCCCCCCCCATGCTCGCTCTCTCTCCACGTTCCCATGGTTATTTCCTCAGTTCTATGAGAAGCTGCAAACCCGGCGGCGGAGAGGAGGCGGAGGGGCGAGGCAGGCGGAGGCGGAGCGGAGGAGGCGGGGAGGCGGGAGGCGGGGAGGGGGAGGAGGCGGAGGCGGAGGAGAGGAGGGAGGCGGAGGAGGAGGCGGAGAGGGAGGAGGAGGAGAGAGAGGCGGAGGAGGAGGAGGCGGAGGGAGGAGGAGGAGGAGGAGGAGAGGAGGCGGAGGAGGAGGAGGAGGAGGAGGACGGCGGAGAGGGGAGGAGGAGAGGAGATGAGGCTTCTTGGAGGAGGGGAGGAGGAGTAGGGGAGGAGGAGCGGTGCGCGAGTTCTTGAGGAGGAGGAGGATTCTTCTTCGTCTTCTTCTTATTGCTTACTTCACTTCTTCTTTTCTTCGTATTCTTTCGTTTATTCTTCTATTCGGCTTCTTCTTCTTCTTCTTCTTTCGTCTTCTTCTTCTTCTTCCCCCCTCTCATTGCTCAAGACCCCAAAATTCCACAAACTGGCTGAAGAAAATAAAAACTATATGCCACCTTAAGTAGCCCTCTAAAAATATACCTATACACCCACACCCCTATTTCGAGGAATCCTGTTATCCAAGAGCAAAACTTTGTTTGTTTGCCTTATATTTAGCCCTGCAATACTTATTCTGCCCCTTCTCATATTCTAGCTGTTGTTAAGCTAACTGGCTGTGAAAAGTGTCATGGGACCCTGGTACCTGTTACCTTGGCCTGCCTAGGGGGTGTTCTAGCTTGTTGTTGTAGACAGGGCTGTTGTTCTGAGAGCCACACTGACACTAAGGAGACAGGGTCTGCTGTCACAGGAGGAGAAACAGACATAAATCTGGCTTTGGTCTTCTAGCTAGCAGGCTGCTTAATCAATGCTATACCACTACCAGAGAGATGGGCATAGATAGCATCGACAGTAGGCTAGCATGGATGCTAATCCGGCTGGTGTTTGCCAGACTCTGCTTGTTTTGCTTAGTAAGAAAGTATTGTCTTACTCAAAGGTTAGAGGAAGGATCAGATGAATTATTACTTATTAAGCAGTCAGCGCTCAGGGCTCACGCTCCAGCATTTTGGCACTGGTTGGAAAACATTGAAAAGGACACTGTTTTAGGGGAAACAATGCCCTTTCAGCTGCCACATTGACTTTCTGTATGAAGCAAAGCAGTCTCTTTATTTGAGCGAACATTATTAATGTGCAGTATGTTATTTTAAAATTGTTGTCCTCACACGGAAATGAATAAGATAGATTCACTAGAATCGAATTATGGCCCCTAAACAAATCATGGCAGCCCATAACCTTACAGCAATCAATGTGGGCACCCCCATAACAGTGAAATATGTTAACGTTACACTAGCACTGTGTGGTTATGGCAGACCCCTAAGAATGTGTTATTGAAACCCTTGCTCAATGCCTCTGGCCTTAAAGAGCAGAGGGTCTTTGCTTTGATCAGAGGAAGCTCTGGTAACCAACAGGACTTAATTGGTGGTTCAACTGACAGAACTGGAAAATGATGGACAGACAGGGGGTAGATGCTAGCATAAATTAGCCTACTACTTAGCGCCCCTCTTTCTCCTCCACTTTCTCTCCCCTGCTCCCTCGCACCTTTTCTTGAACTCCCTCCCGAACTCTCCCTCTCGAACTCTCTCTCCCTAACTCTCTCTCACTAACTCTCTCTGTCTTTCATGTACTACTCTCCCACACACTCTCTCCTTCCCTCGCTCTGTGTTGACTAATGCCAGGATTAACAGAGACTGTCAGTACTGATAACAACAGTCATTCATCAGATTAATTGATGATACCATCATTATCTGGGCTTTGTGGTCACACACAACACACACATGTACACACACACACACACACACACACACACACACACACACACACACATATATACACACACACACACACACAGCTTGATACTGTTAATCCGTGTTGTTCTTACACAGCCTGCTAATAGAATGGTTTTGTTTGTTTTGTTCCTCCCCACAGTACTGCAATGGTGGCGATCTGGCTGACTATCTGCAAGGTAAGCATCACACTAATCTCAACACACACACTGGGTATTATTCATCAAAACAAAGTAACTAGCAGTGGAGAGCACTGTGGGTACTTTTGTGTGCATCTCTGTCTGCCTTTTGTGTGTGGTGTGTGTTCCCAATGCAAGGGAGTGCTGTGTGTAGGAGCCGTCACAGTGATATGACACAATGGGTTCCTTATTTAGCACCGAGGTCAGCACAGCTCTGACGCCAGTCTAGAAATCTGCCATCTCAAAGGTCACTCATCTCTCATAATGCTTCCCAAGAAAGCACCAACCACTGAATGTCTTAATACGATGCTGCTTGTGGAGGTCTACATGGTATATAATTGACTTTATGGATATAGCAGTTTACAGCAGTGAATTGCATAACACACACACCTGTCTCCCTGTTGATATGGATCATATTTCCATATGTATATCAATGTCAACAGCAGGTAGTTATGTGTTAATCCCAGCAGAGCTACAGTTGAGTAACAGAGAAAGAGAGAGGTCATCATGAAATGGACACCATAACAAGAGGTCAATGGGGAGTCTTAAGAGGCACTGAGGAACAGAATGTCCCGGTGCACCAGGTTTAGTGTAGATACTGGTGTACAGAGGAAAGTCCTCATGTTGTGTTCTGATTCACTTGTTATCAGGGGAACTGTTGTTGTACAGGCGCACGCTTTCACGTTACCTCAGAGCATGGTACAGTGTCTGTACCTCTCTCTTCTAGCACACACGCACAGTCGCACTCTCCCCCTTTCTGTCGCTCTCTCTCTCTGTCGTTCTCGCCCTCTTTCTCTCTCTCTCTTTTAGCTCTTTCTCTCTCCCTTATAAACCCTGGTATAATGGCACCACACAACCATGTTATGTTATTTCACTAATTGCACAACTTTGCTGCGTTAGAAGAAATTGCCACTGTTGTACTTTAGAGAGAGTGTTGTTAAATCCCTGATTAATGTGTGTAAGCACGGTTAGATTGAAATAAGATCCATTGTGACCATAATGGTTTGGTTTACCCAGGAATCCTCTTAGCTAGCAGCACACTGGATTAGCTAATGTTGTTGTTGTTTCACTACAATCAGTACAGGCAGGGACCAGGCACACTCCACTGGCCAACCTCTTATGCTAGCTAACATTCACTGTTAATACTTTTATTACTTAGGCTGCTAATATTCAAACAATTACTATCCCTAATCGGTTGTGCTTGCATAAAAGATGTAGACTACTTGCAGAATAAGCATTTTGTGCAGGCTGTTTTCCCTTGGATTCAGGGTGTAGTTGTGGTGACAGAGCTCTCCCAATGCATCTTGATGTAGAAGTGTTAATGCATTTCTCTCATTGATATCGGTGCATCTCAATCACTTAAATGTAAACTGAGGCAATCAGTCATTAATGCAAAGCATCAGGGAGATGGGTATTGAGTGTGTGTAACTGCTGGCAAATGTTTTGTATGAGTCCCATGTGGCTCAGTTGGTTGAGCATGGCGCTTGCAACATCAGAGTTGTGGGCTTCGTTTTCCACGAAGGAAAAGTATGAAAATGTATGCACTCGCTCTGGATATGAGCATCTGCTAAATTACTCAAATGTAAATCTAAAAATGTAAATACATGTTAATGATCAGTGTGGGTTAAACGTTAGTGTTATAAAAAGTTGTCTCTGTGGCCTCTAGACTAGTGCATAGTGGGTGGGTAATGTCCTTTATAGAGATTTCAGTGCAGTATGGGTAATGTAGTTTTGTATAGATAAAATATGCTAATAGCCAGTGTTGGTGTTGTAGTCTTTTACCACTACATCCCTGGTCATCATACATTATGTGCCAATACATTGATACTGTGTAATGAAGGATTGCTCTCCCTAGCCAAGGGTACACTGAGAGAAGACACTCTGAGGGTGTTCCTCCAGCAGATAGCAGCAGCCATGAGGATCCTCAACAGTAAAGGCATCATCCACCGAGACCTGAAACCACAGAACATCCTACTGTCATACACGAGCCGCAAGAGATCCAGCATCAACGGCATTCGCATCAAAATAGGTGACTGACCAACCCAGCCCCTCAAACACAACACACACACAAACCTTCAAAAAGAGAACTCTCCCTTTCATTCTGTATATAGTGTTCTTTCTGTATATACACAACTTCATAATGTTTAGATGATATAAATAGTGTTTATACTGTATATCTAGAGATGGCCTATCTATGAACTGTTAGCCATCATATGATTTGTCTTAATGTGTCACACAAGTGTCATATATCAAATGTTATGTATCACGATGCACCACAATGATCGCTAGCTCAGGTCATGGTTAGTTGTTTTGAACCCCACAGCTATATTTTGTTTGCTACAGCGCTATATCCATAAGGTGTGGTGACTCTCATGTTGTGTGTTGAGTGCCCAATTGTCTAGTGCCTGAGAGGCTTGGGAATAGGAGTTGTGACACTCCGACACTAGTCGTTATTAATAAGACAGACAGACAGACAGACAGACAGACAGACAGACTGACTTGACAGCCTTCTCTATTTCAGCTGACTTTGGCTTTGCACGATACCTCCAGAGCAACATGATGGCTGCCACGCTCTGTGGCTCCCCCATGTACATGGTGAGTGGGTGCGGGTGGGTGTGCAAGCGTGTGTGTTAGTGTTTGTTGTGTGTGTAAGGGTGTCGTGTCTGCAGTCTCTTGTTCTCCTGTGACAACGGCTCCGCTTACTCAGCAACCTGCAACTGGAACGGTCTTTTCAGCGCTTGACCTCTAACCACTGTCCTTTAACCAGGCCCCGGAAGTGATCATGTCACAGAACTATGACGCCAAGGCAGACCTGTGGAGCATTGGGACGGTCGTCTACCAGTGTCTCGTAGGGAAGCCGCCTTTCCAGGTAGGATGGAGGGGGAGAGTTGATATGGGGCAACTTTTTTCCTCACACAAAGCAGAATTAAACTCTTTCTCTGCAAGACAAAAATGTCACCCATGGTGTGTGTTTATAGATATGGTATACAAACCCCCTGTCACTCTGTGCTCTCGATCTCTCATTATCTCTCTCTCTATTCTCTCTCTTCTCTCTCACTCTCTAGGCCAACAGTCCCCAGGACCTGAGGATGTTCTATGAGAAGAACAAGTCACTGCTGCCCATGTAGGTGATAGGATTTAGGAATGATTAACTATCTGATCGAGGCCTTTTGGGCTGAAAAGTCGTGTTTTTAACTAGAACGTATGTCTGTGCCTCTATTACCCAGCATCCCGAGGGAGACGTCTCCTCCCCTTGGCAACCTGTTGCTAGGCCTGCTGCAGAGGAACCAGAAGGACAGGATGGACTTCGGTCAGTTCTGACGTCACTTCCCTTCTAGAAAGGAAATTATTTAAAACATGTTTGTTATCCATAAATTGGATATTACCTCTCTAACATTCACACTTCTGTCTTGTTTCTCCTGCAGATGCATTTTTCAGCCATCCTTTCTTAGATCCAGCGTCTGCCGTCAAAAAATGTGAGTAGATAGATGAGAACTTCCTTCATCAATAACAGGGAAATACATGTTGTAGTATCAGAACTGTATTGTGAGATGGCGTTGATGTTGAGAGCACTTAGGTCTTGTGTGAAAACGTGTATTTGTATGTTTTTCTCCAGCATGTCCTGTTCCAGTACCCAAGTGCCCTAGCGCTCTGACCGACATCACCTGTGGCAGCTTGCCCTCTGTTCGCTACAACTCTCCTCCCGTAAGTTCATCCTGACTGCCTATACACCTCATAGTTGCATTCCACAGCAAGTGTGTTTATCTGTACCTCAAGGCATAGCACCACACCACAACACTCAGCACTGAAGAATCCAGACTTTGTACAGTAGCTCAGTGGGAAAACGGACAAACTGAGTTTCCCAGGGATGTACTTTATCTCTCTGTCCACTGTGATTGCATTATTCAGACAGTCTACATAGCCCAGTCTGGCTGTAATTGAATTGTACAGCCCAAGCCCTCTCGCTTTCCTTCTCTTGCCCCACCCTCCTAACACACACACACACACCACCTAACCCTTCCCTTCTCCAGTCTCTCCCAGACATGCAGACATTACCTGAGGACTGTCTGTCGTCACCCCCCCTGGGCCCTCCCAACTACCTGCAGCTGTCTAAGGAGTCTGGAGGAAGCACCAGCAGCAAGAACTCCTCCAGCGACACGGACGACTTTGTCCTGGTGCCACACCTCTCCACAGAGTCTTGTGAGTCTGCAGGAACACACACACACACACACACACACACACTAACACTGGACACTTGCTACTCCTTATTACACTAATTAGGCCTACTGGTAGCACTACATATACAATGAGCATCTACTTACACTAAGCACCTTGTCATTGCTTGTCCATATATGTATATTTTCTTAAATTCCACTCCTTACTAGTTTTGTGTGTATTAGGGATATGTTGCGAAATTGTTAGATATTACTTGTTAGATATTACTGCACTGTCGGAGCTAGAAGCACAAGCATTTCGCTACACCCACTATAACATCTGCTAAACACGTGTATGTGACAAATAACATTTGATTTGATTTGCTATAAAACACACACACTGAGCACCTACTCACACTTTACACAGACAGTTGACCAAATAGACACATTTTGAGTGGCAGTATGGGTAGTCAGTTAATTCACTAATGTGCCATAGTTTCTACTCTTGTCTGTTTGGCTCACTTCCCTCTCCCTCCTCTTCCTCTTCCTCAGATGACCAGCCAATGGGAGCAGTGGGGCGTCGGGCGTCCGGAGAGTGGTGTGGAGGGTGAGCTCTTAACATGTGTTTGTGTGTGCGTATGTATTTATGGATGAGAAATAAGTATTTAAAGCTATCCAACTCTTTATTTTCTGAGATTGGCCGGCCACCATTTCAGAAAGGAACATAAACCCTGTCCCTACACCTCCTCTAGTTACTAGAGAATACCAGAACACAAAATAACTCCCAGGAACAGAATATCTAGATGACCTGACCTGGTTTCTCTGTTGGCTCCCCTGTGTTTGACTGTGTTGCTCCATGCTCCATGGAAATCTATCATTCTTTCACTGTTGACTTGTTGCGTCATGGAAATGTAACCTAAACTCAGAGAGGATTAATAAACAGTCTGTCTGACCTGTGTCCCTAAACCGGGATATTTCAGAACATTTCCCACGGTCCGACTATTTTTAATGTATTTGATCAATTTGATTTATAGCACATTGAACAGATCTAATAATGATTGTCACAAAACGTAACACAATAAATATGTGTGGTGAAAGGATTAAGGTTAAAAACAGACTGAATAGCTGATGGAAATATGAGCCAGTCTGATGTGCATGCTGCTATTTCAGCCTCAGATATCGTGTGTGTCTGTGTGTGAGTGTGCGTGCGTGCGTCAGCTGTGAATGAGCTCTGCATGAGTAAGTGCATTCTGTCTACTGCTGTCAGCTCAGTGTGTCTGTCCGTGTGTCTGTCCATGTGTGTCTGTCAGTGTGCACAGCAGCTGTGTTTATTTTATACTCTTTAGTCATAAATGACATGCTGTTTGTGTCTGAAAGCAATATCACTCTTCCATTTCTATGAAGCTAAATAAGGCATTTTGTTCATGTCAAAATCAATTTGATTCGTTTTTATATTGTGTAGACGTCGCAGATAAACGGCTACTGTCCGTTATATCCTGAGCCACCCAGACTAGACAGGCCTGTGGTATGAGAATAGATCTCTTTCACACACACACACAGGAAATCGCTGTAGGCAAACGTGACTGTTGTTGTCACGGCATCTTAAATGACTGTCACACATACATACATACATACACACACACACACACAGAGAGAGCAGAGACACAAACACCACTTCCTCATCTCTTGTGACCCCCACACTCTCTCTCTCTCTCTGTTTGTAAATAACCTGCAGCAAGACAATGCTCTCCACCCTCATCTATAACTCGCTTTTTCTTTTCACTCCCCCTGTTCCTCTCCCTGTTTCTGTCTTTGTAAACAGCCTCCAGTAATGCTGTTTTCTATCACTCCGTTTCCATTCTCTCTCACTGTCTTGTATTCACCCTCATTTTGTCTATTCCATAGTTTGTTTCCCCTGTGGAGAGTGCACACAGAGAGAGTGGGAGTGCACACAGAGAAGGAGAGGGAAAAGACAGTGCTGTGTTTCCATTCCCCTCTGGGTAGATGCAGTAAAGACAAACGGGTCAACAGTAAAGCAACACTGGGTTGCAGATTCCCTCTCTCTTCTCAAAGAAGACACTCACGACTGACCTACAAACTGCCTTTTGTTAGGGGGAGCACCCTGTGTAGCTCCAATGTCCCCATTAGCTTCTGTTGTTAGAACACATCAGCTTTTAACGACCTGCTCTGGGGAGAAATGAATGTGTTAAACTGAATGACTGCATGAGGTAATACAGTGCACTGAGGTTAGAGAATAAACCACGGGAATAGTTGGTTTGTTTTCCCTTTTTAAATGCCACTTTGATGAACCTTTATGGCCCTTTTACTTTTGGTTCAAATGAAATCCAATTTGATTTGTCACATGCGCCGAATACAACAGGTGTAGACCTTACAGTGAAATGCTTACTTACAAGCGCTTAACAAACAATGGAGTTTTAAGAAAATAATATAAAATATTTACTAAATAAACTAAAGTTAATAAAAGTAACACAATAGAATAACAATAACGAGGCTATATACAGGGGGTACCGGTACTGAGTCAATGGGCGGCGGTACAGGTTAGTCAAGGTAATTGAGGTAAAATGTATATGTAGGTATGGGTAAAGTGACTATGCATTGATAATAAACAGCGAGAAGCAGCAGTGTAAAAACTTAAAAAACTAAGGGGGGGGGGTCAATGCAAATAGTCCAGGTAGCCATTTGATTAATTGTTCAGCAGTCTTAGGGCTTGGGGATAGAAGCTGTTAAGGAGCCTTTTGGACCTAGATTTGGCGCTCCGGTACCGCTTGCCGTGCGGTAGCAGAGAGAACAGTCTATGACTTGGGTGGCTGGAGTGGAACCTTTTGAGGATCTAGGTACCTATGCCAAATATTTTCCTTCTCCTGAGGGGGAATAGGCGTTGTCGTGCCCTCTTTACGACTGTCTTGGTGTGTTTGAACCATGATAGTTTGTTGGTGATGTGGACACCAAAAAACTTGAAGCTCTCGACCCGGTCCACTACAGCCCCGTCGATGTGAATGGGGGAGTGGTCGGCCCTCCGTTTCCTGCAGTCCACGATCAGCTCCTTTGTCTTGCTCACGTTGAGGGAGAGGTTGTTGTCCTGGCACCACACTGCCATGTCTCTGACCTCCTCCCAAAGGCTGTCTCATCGTTGGAACTAGAAGGGCAATTGTGTCTAATGGAAAGCTATGTCAATGTGTGTCTTGTGTTAAAATGTGTTTCTTTGCTTCTCAGAGTGGAAAGCAAACAAAGAAAGCCCTCTTTGTCTGTGTTTCTGCTGTACAGAACAGACGGATGGTCGCGTGCCTCACGTGTATCCCTCAGTCTATTCCCTTTTCTCTGGTCTAGACCCTCCCTCGCTAATCATCTTATTACATAACGCTGCTACTGCTGAATCTGCCCTGTTCTATAACATTTATATTCCTCCTCCCCTTCTGTTCTCTTTCCCTTTTTCATTCTAAACCCAAGTGAACCCCCTATGGTTGACCCGTGTATGACTTTTGCTCTGGGAACATTTTGTACCATTCGAATAACAAAGGAATGCAAATTAGCCTGGCTTTTTTTCCTCCTGTTCCTCTGTGTCTGATAGAAAGGAGGAGGGCTCAGCACATGCTATTGGCCTAGCCCACAAACCACAGTTTCTTCAGGTCCGCCCATAACTCCTCCTCTTGGCACAGACTACTCCCCACTGATTGGGCAGACACATGTGTGTTTACACAACGGCCCTGCCCCCTCTGGGTTGGGCCAGCCCCTTCCAGCAGGACTGAAGTTTAGTGACTCACCCAGCCTCAGTTGAAAATGCTGTATTTGTAAAAGTAAACAAAGAACTCAGAGACATAGCCTAGCTATAAACTTCTAGTCAGCCTAGTATTTCATTTAGTCCAACTGTTGCGCTCCCCGCGTTCTATTTATACAAATGTCGTCTCGGAAGGACTGAAGTAATTTTTAACATTGAGTTCTATGGGTGTTGATATTTCTGAACAGTTGGTGCAGTTTTGGCAGAACTAGCAGACAGACTGGCTAACGGGCCTGCTCTTCCCACTTCACCCCTCCAGGCAGCCGCAGACCACCGGACAGACCCCCATGGTGTCCCCCCGGGCAGAGACCACCCCTATCCCTGTGCCCACCCAGGTGCGGAACTACCAGCGCATCAAGCAGAACCTCTACAACAGCCCCACCACCACACTTTACGGCTCCACCAGGTAAGAGACACTGTCTGGGGAAAAGGGTTTGGGGAAAAGACTTAGTGCATCGGTACCGTTTGCCGTGCGGTAGCAGAGAGAGCAGTCAATGGCTTGGGTGGCTGGAGTCTTTGTCAATTTTTTGGGCCTTCCTCTGACACTGCCTGGTATAATAAGTCCTGGATGGCAGGGAGCTCGGCCCCAGTGATGTACTGGGCCATACGCACTACCCTCTGTAGCGCATTGCAGTCGAATACCTAGCTCCTGTAAGTCGCTCTGGATAAGAGCGTCTGCTAAATGACCAAAAATATATATAAAAAAATAGTAGTTGCCATACCAAGCGGTGATGCAGCCAGTCAATATGCTCTCAATGGTGCAGCTGTATAACTTTTTGAGGTGCCCCTGTCCTGGGTGGTTCTCGAAGTACAACTGTCATGGTTAAGAAGTTTTTTGTTTTGTGGGCAGTGGCGGCTCCTGAAAAAATTCTCAGGGGGGGCATTTTTTCTGATGATTTAGGTGACCTACACACATTTAAAAAAAGATATGTCCAGCAACAACATGAAGACAGGGGCAGCATATAAGTCAATACTGATATACACATTACTTGCTTCAAAAAGGCCTCATGGTTGAATTGGAAATATGTGCACCTGAGCATAATTCACAACAAGCAAGCAGGAGCTTTTGATAGAGGCTACTGAAAACATTGATGCAAGTTATTGGTAATAAGAAATTTTTATAGACTTCCATATTCTGCCCTCTTGTATAGATTTGTGAAAATGAACAGTGATAGACATTTTGCCTGAAAACAGAATTTGAAAATAATTTCTAGAAAAGGTAAACACAGCTATCTGTATGGCTTTGTAAAAATGAACAACCATATTCTGGCCAATTGTATAGATTTGTAAATATGAACAACCATATTCTGGCCAATTGTATAGATTTGTAAAAATGAACATGAACAGATTTTTATTATTTTTTTACTTTTTTTAAAATGAAAAATAACTATTTTAAACAACATCAACTGTGAACTGATTTGGGCGTGTGTGTGTTAAAGAGACAGACAGGGAGGGACAAAGAGAGAGAGAGGCTACATTACTTGTACTGAAACTGTTCTAGCTTGCTGCATGATCAAATTCAGCTGATGCGCATAGCAATGCACGTAATGGGCATTCTTGAAATGCTTACGCACCTTTTGCTGCACACCAGCCTTCTCTCCCCTCACACTGGCTCCATCGTAAGCTTGCGCAATGAGTTTGACTTTCTCGTCGTCGGCAAAAAGACCGTTCAGTCTCTCCAAAAGCACACTGGCGATTGAGACTGAGGTTGATTCCGAGATGGGAAGGAACTCAAAAAAGCGCTCCTGCACTTTGTGGTTGCTATCTATGTACCTCAGCACAAGCACCAGCTGTGTCTGTGTAGAAACGTCCGTGGTCTCGTCAGCTTGGATAGCTACGAAGTTCGCCGACTTCACCTCCTCCACAATATGTTCCCTCATGACCGCTAGCATACACTCCAGTAGCTCGTTTTGAATGGTCTTTGATGTGCCCTTGAAAACTTTAGCATTTTTAAGATGGTCATCAAACACCTCATCTAATTGTGCCACAAAGTTGACAAGTCCAAGAAAAATACCAGGGTTGGTGGAGCCCTCAGTTTCATCTTTGCCTCGCAAAGCTAGCCATCTTGACAGTTGTACGTGAATTGATTGACGCTGCTACCCGCTCTTTTCTTAGTTATGTTCATGGTTACTTATGTTACGTGGGTACATACAGTCCTCACACCTGGCTGATCAGAGACTAGTCTTTCATGTTGTTGGATCTCTGACTAAGCTTTGGGTGGGAACAGGAAAATTAACCTACAACTGTCAGTTATAGCATCAGGTAAAGTTTCACTAAGTTTCATCAGTTCAGTCAGTGGATATTGCTTGTGTTATATTGTGGTGTGGTAGGGGGAAGTTTTTCAATACATATAGAAAGGGAGGGAAATAGGAAGCGGTTTCGAATATCCTTTAGAGGCAAATTAGTTGTATTGTTGTTCTTCTATTGACTGTTGTGAGATGAGATAAGAACATTGCCACAGGGATTAGTAAAATGTTCCTGTGGTGCTTTTCCAATGAGATTTACCCCCACACCAGTGGGCCGCCAGGGTTTTATGTTAATGTTAGCTCTAGTGTTATTGTGGCCTTGCCTTGGCTACAAGTTAGAGCAGGTCCACCGGAGCCCAGTGAGACATGGGTGCCGGCCCGCATTGATGGAAACAGAAAAGTCTGAGCTTTTTGGGTAAAACACTGGGCTAAATCCACAATGGGAATGCGGTACTGGAGTAGCTCCACAGTGAACCCTCTACCTACCCTCACCACAGGGCCCCAAAGCCTGGACAGCGGGTACTAGTAGCCAGCCTCCCCCAACTGCTGCCCCATTTCCATTGGCCATGGGTCTTACTCTGTGTCCTTCAAGAAGGATTAAGCTCTCTGTCATAGACAGACTACCCTGTCACTTGATGTGTCTGGGCTAGTTAACGAGTTAGCGTTTAGCGCTGGTTCTTTATGATCAAGAAGAGATGAATGCAGAGAGCTAGCACAGCAGGCTAGCAGACAGACAGTGTGCAGACATCTCAGGGGAGGACTGGCTTCCATATGTGCCCGCCTGCTGCCTACTCTTTCTCTGTCAGACATATCTTTTTTGAAACTCCAGAAAGCTCAAGAGAGGAAGTGAGGCAGAAAGAGAGAGAGTGGAAGAGTACTCGCTATCAGCACAACAGTTGCTCAACCAATGTTCCAACATGCTTGTTTTTAGCGAGAGTAGGCTAACAGCCGTGTTTGAAGTGCTTGCAGCGTGACAGGGTTGTTTTGGCAGCAAACTGACGGTCGCTGAATAACTCAGGAAGTTGAAATTAGAGCCAAGCGAATAAAGGCAACCGTTAGACACTGAGCTGAGGGATTGGAATCTAGCTAAGCTCATTGCCAAAAGTTTTATTAAACATAAGTTAATGTTTTCAGATGTTTTAGAAAGGTTATTCAAGTGTTATGTGATGATAAACATGAAGAATAGTGGTTGGAAACTAGAGCATCGCTGTAAGCTGCAATAAAAAGGGGGTTCATGAACCGTAGGTAGTGTTGGTTCTGGTGGACTAACAATGAATGTGTGTAACATTTTTGTTATGTATGTACTGTATATTTGTGATATCTAAACCTCCATTGTGTGTGCTTGTCTATGCAGGTCTGGTACAGTGAGGCGGTCCAACACCAGTCCCATGGGTTTCCCTAAGGTTGGCTCTGGGTCCCCCAGCTCTGCAGACTGCAGCCCTCAGATGACAGGCAGACGTCTCTCTATAGGCAGCTCCCGCCCATACTCCCCCTCACCTCTGGGTAAGAACATGCCCCAACATGTCCCCATCTCATATCATTCAACACGCCTGGCATCATAATCCTTTTACATTGAAACCTTCTGTTGACATCTAATGCAAAACTGCATTAATATGTCTGTGTGTGTTTCTCTTTAAGTGGGCACCATCCCAGAGCAGCTGGGTCACTGTTGCTGTGGACACCCTCAGGGCCACGAGTCCCGCAGCCGCAGCTCCTCAGGAGGTGAGTTCAGTAGACAGACAGACATACAGACAGATAGAAAAAGGCTGGGTTTCCCAAAAGTATTGTAGCACTAAGATCATCTTAATTCCATTGAAACTAAATGGACAAAATATGATCTTAGTGCTACAATGCTCTTGGGAAACCCAGCCCAGGATTACTTTTAAAGAGAGACAGACAAAGGCATCTACAGAAGTGTTTACATTTTCTTCCCTCTCTCCCCTCCTCCCCTGAGGCGGATGTATATGATTGACAAAAGCAATGAGTCAGGGTTTTTTTTTAAATAACAGCTGTTCCAATAACACTCTGGGAGGGAGGTTGTGTGTATGGGAGTTGAAGCCTTTCACTCACCCGTCCATGCAGTTTTCAGAAGTGTGTCACTGTTTGTGTCAAGGGGCCAGTATCCATGGCAACCACCGTGTGATGGGAAGGACTTGGCTTGAGCAAAACAATGCAGATACAGTTAGTACTTTGTCTCCTTCGGGAAAACCTGGAGATTAACAACACACACTTGATGACCTACTAAAGAAAAAAACAGAAGTTTTTGAACTTCTCAGCAGCAACACTGTGAATGAACAAGAGGCTCATAAAAACATGAACCTAGTGGCCCTTCACTGCTGCTATTTTTGACTTGGTTTAAAGTGGAAAAATACAAATTTCAAGACTGTTGAGCCATCTAGTGGTGAATTGTACATCTTCTCTAGATTAGTTGCAGCCAACTCCACTTACACTATACTAACACTAATGTAACTAATGATCGCCACTAAAACAATTATTCATGTGAAACTTAAACTTTTACATTAAGTGATAAATAAATTACTTGTATGAATAACTCTGTGCGTCTCCTTTAGGTTATCCAGTGCCGTCGTCCCAGTTACTGGGGGCTCGCCTGCAGAGTGCCCCCACCCTGACCGAGGTCTACCAGACCAGACAGAAGCTCCACAAGCAGCTGTCAGACCCCATCCAGCCCTCCACCTCCAACTACCCCCTCAGCCACTCCCCCCACATGGGTCGCCCTGGCAACCTGGGCACCTCCCCCACCAAACACCTGGGCTCCTCCCCCCGCTCCTCTGATTGGCTGACAAAGTCGCCGCTGCCCACTATCATTGGCTCCCCCACCAAGGTTGGTTGAGTTGATAACCATTTTGGCATATTTTAATCATAAGACCAATTCTGTTTTGCTACGGTCCTACTTACCACAACCTTGGAGTGAGTATTCCCAGTAACTGTTGACCTCTACCTATGTTCCCTGTTCAGCCCATCTCGGCCCCATTCAAGATCCCTAAGACGCAGGCGTCCTGTAACCTGATGGCCCTGGCAGACAGTCCCACACCCATTAAGACCCTGGCGGACGCACGGGACATCTGTGCCCACCACGGCAACCCCTACCCCAGTGGGCGCCAGCCTGCCCCTGAGGCCAGCAGGACCACCTTTGGCAGGTAAAGTGAGCACTATTGTTTTTCTCTCTCTGTGTGGGTAATAAACACTACATGACCAAAAGTATGTGGACACCTGCTCGTTGAACATCTCATTCCAAAATTATGGGCATTAATATGGAGTTGGTGTCCCCTTTGCTGCTATAACAGCCTCCACTCTTTACACTAGATGTTGGAACATTGCTGCGGGGACTCACTAATACAAGAGTATTAGTGAGGTCTGACACTGATGTTGGGCGATTAGACCTGACTAGCAGTCGTTCCAATTCATCCCAAAGGTGTTGGATGGGGTTGAGGTCAGGGCTCTGTGCAGGCCAGTCAAGTTCTTCCACACCGATCTTGACAAACCATTTCTGTATGGACCTCGCTTTGTGCACGAGGGCATTGTCATGCTGAAACAGGAAAGGGCCTTCCCCAAACTGTTGCCACAAAGTTGGAAGCACAGAATCGTCTAGAATGTCATTATATGCTGTAGCGTTAAGATTTCCCTTCACTGGAACTAAGGGGCCTAGCCCTAACCATGAAAAACAGCCCCAGACCAATTTTCCTCCTCCACCAAATTTTACAGTTGGCACTATGCATTCGGGCAGCTAGCGTTCTCCTGGCATTTGCCAAACCCAGATTTGTCCGTCCGACTGCCAGATGGTGAAGCGTGATTTATCACTCCAGAGAACGCGTTTCCACGGCTCCTGAGTCCAATGGCGGCGAGCTTTACACCACTCCAGCCGACTCTTGGCATTGCGCATGGTGATCTTAGACTTGTATGTGGCTGCTCGGCCATGGAAACCCATTTCATGAATCTCCCGACAAACAGTTATTGTACTGACGTTGCTTCTAGAGGCAACCGAGGACAGACGATTTTTACACGCTTCAGCACTCGGCAGTTCCGTTCTGTGAGCTTGTGTGGCCTACCACTTCGCAGCTGAGCCTTGTTGCTCCTAGACGTTTCCACTTCACAATAACAGCACTTACAGTTGACCGGGGCAGCTCTAGCAGGGCAGAAATTTGATGAACTGACAAGTTTGAAAATTCACTGAGCTCTTCAGTAAGGCCATTCTACTGCTAATGTCTGTTTATGGAGATTGCATGGCAGTGTGCTCGATTTTATACACCTGTCAGCAATGGGTGTGGCTGAAATAGCCGAATCCACTAATTTGAAGCAGTGTCCACATACTTTTGGTTATATAGTGTATCTCTTGCTCATCTCAATGTGTTCTCCATGTGTTTCTCTCCCCAGGTCTGTCAGTACTGGCCGTCTGTCTGAACAGCCAATCAGAATCACTCTAGGGGGACAGCCCTACCAGGGAAGCACAGACAGCCTCAACACAGAGCGGCCCATGGATACAGGTAAATAAACACACACACACTGTCCTAGTTTGTCCTCCCATGTATAATTAATGGAACAGATGTTTTTACCATTAATTAGAAAAGAGCTGGAGACAGAAAATGTGTTGTGATATTAGTGAGCGTAGTAAGAAATAACCTAGCTAGTAAACTGACCTGGACAACAATGGTTTAGTAGATTATACTTATCGTTGTCCCAAAGAACAACACAAATACAAACACACACCAGTCTATCTGCTTCATGGCTTCTCGCCCTGCATGAACTGCTTGGATTGGCTGCTCTGACAGGCACTTCCTGTGTAACAGAGAGCTTGATTGGCTTAGTGTGAATGACCGCCCCCTCCCTCCCTCCCTCCCTCCCTAGCCCCGGCAGGACCGTTTGGGCTGGCTCAGCCTCATGGCGGGGCGGCGAGTCCCCGGACCGTTCTCTTCACCGTGGGCTCGCCCCCCAACAGCAGCACCCCCCCTACGTGCAGCCACCTGGGCACCCGGCCGCGCACCACCTCAGGTGAGACCGCTCACTGCGCCAGCGGCTAACTGCTAGGCTAACCACTTGCTAAACCCCACTTCCCAAAGCTACACCCTCCTAGCTAACCTGCTAATGCTAATTATTACGACTCCACTCAATGTTGCCTACCTGGAGTGAAGCGCTCACTCAGTGGAAGTGGTTCCAATGCCAATCCCCTGAGGTGCATAACTGCTATTTAGTGGGCAATCTCTCTCCCTCTCCTTGGGCTGTCCATCTTAGTGGGTACTATCGATAATAGCCTCTGTCTCAGTAGACTGAACTTTGTTCTGGAAAATTCTCAAAAAATCTGTTATCTTAAATTCTCTAGAATTCAAATTCAACCAATGAAAATAGCAATCAAATGATGTGAAAGTGATAGGTCTACATAGTGACACACATTAACAATAAAGTTATATCCCTCTCGCTCTCTCTCTCTCTCTCTCTCTCTCTCAGTGGGCTCCAACAGTTCGGCAGGCTCCCTGTGCTCCACCAGTGGGCGGGTGTACGTGGGCTCTCCTCCGGGCATGGCAATCGGGACCCCTCCCCCAGGGGGGGCAGAGGCAGGTCCCAGCAGCCTACGCTATGTCCCCTATGGTACCTCTCCCCCCAGCCTGGACGGATTCATCACCTTCGAGGCCCCAGAGCTGCCTGAGGAGACACTCATGGAGGTGAGAGAGGGGACCCTTGTGTGTGTGTGGGGCATTTCTATTTGCACACGTCTTTATGTGATATCTGACCTGTATCATTTGTTTGTGACTACAGCGGGAGCATACAGACACTCTGATGCACCTGCGGATGATGCTGTCCTTCACTGACTGTGTCCTGGAGATCGCAGCAGTGCGAGCAGGAGGGGCAGACCTGGGTGTATCGGCTGCCTCCCTCTACCCCCCTCAGGAGAGTGTGGTAGTGGACCAGATCAGCCAGCTCAGCAAGGAGTGGGGGTAAGGGAGAGACCAAAAATGGGGGAGATGGCATTCACAGTTTAACTGAAAGTATTTTGGTTTTAGTTCGGACCCAAACCTGTAGCATTTCATCATAGTGATGCACAAAAAACGTTGTTTCATCACAATTTAAACTTAGTTTGTCTCAAATATTATTGCTGTGAAAGAAAATGATGTTTTTTAGAAAGAAAAGCCATGGAGAGAAGTAAGATGTATAGGTTAGTAATGTGTGCTGTGGTGCCCTCTACAGGCAGGTAGAGCAGCTGGTGCTGTACATGAAGGCTGCCCAGCTCTTGGCCTCCTCGCTCCACCTGGCCAAGGCCCAGATCAAATCTGCCAAGCTCAACCCTTCCAGCGCCGTCAAGCAGGGTAAGACAAAAGTCCCCAGACCGGTACAGTGGCAAAACACTATAGTATTTATGGAGAAAAAAAAAAGGAAAAAAAACAGCATACTAACTTAATACACTTTAAATATCAATAGTATCCATATACATGTATAATACTTAGATATCATTATTTTAGTTTATTTTGAGCATAACTAACTTTTTCTCCCTCCCCTTCCTCAGTGGTGAAGAGTCTGAACGAGCGTTACAAGAGCTGCATCTCCCTGTGTCGGCGGCTCACAGACAAGCTGAACCACTTCTTCTCAGACAAGCAGCGCTTCGTAGACGAGATCAACAGCGTGACTGCAGAGAAACTAATCTACAACCACGCTGTGGAAACGGTGCAGTCTGCAGCTCTGGATGAGATGTTTCAGCAGACGGAGGACATAGCCTACCGCTACAACAAGGCTGCCATGCTGCTAGATGGCCTGTCCAAGATCCTGCAGGACCCTGCAGACATCGAAAATGTGGCCAAGTGTAAGTATCCACCCGCCATCCTCAACTGTAGATTGTCTGTTTCTGCTACGCCATTGTTATGTAATGTATGGCCAAAGCACAAATTCATCTGACAACCAGGCTCCCCTAACAGGCTCTGTCAGAGACCAGACCAGCTCATCACATTGTAGTGTATCAGAGACTCTGGTGTAGTGGACATGGATATTAATATGGAAAGTAAAGTGTGTTAACTAGAGTCTCTTGAGAACAATCTCTTTGACCTCTTATCATTAATGGTAAAGACCGGCACTCACAGGCTTACTTCAACCACTTAGTCTAGCTCTGAGCTGCATTCAGATAAGGCTTCAATCAGATGAGGTTTAGAGTGCACTATGGTGCTCTGAAAGAGTGTGGCATGGCAGCCAGGGCATTGTGACATAGAACAGCAGCTCCAGTCACTGTGATCTGACTGTGTTTGTGTCTCCTCAACAGACAAGGCCAGTGTGGACCGGAGGATCTCTGCCCTCTGCTACTGCACCGTCACACTGTACGAGTAGCAGACCACACACACACATATCAGGGGCAGTTGTGACCTCCCTGCCCTCCTTCTCTGCCCAGAGGGACCACTCTCTACCCTAACAATAGAACCTTGAGAACAAGCACGTAGCAGTCCAAGCACCTTTCAATTTTCTTTTATTTTTCTGAGTTTAAGCAAACAACAACACGACAGATAGTATTACACCTTCTTTGGCATCACAGACTGAACGCTGAAGTGTGCGAGAGATGATGCACACATTCACTACCAAAGATGATCCAATGATCCTGGAACTGAGACATTCACAGGACATGAACAAGACGCAGGCATCTTCTCGCGTGCGGTCTGTCAACCGACTCCTTGAAGAGAGTGGGAGGAGGACACATACCACCACATCAAACAAATTACCCAGCTTTTTGTTTCCGACTTGCAGGATTTTTTAATTTTGTACCAGAAGAAAGAGATTGACATGAGGACAATGACAATCTATTGTGGGCCCAGAGACTTATACACCCATGGAAAATACAACTTTTTAATGCAAATCACAGTTGTTATTATAATGTAAAGGTTTTTACTCTGTATTATTATTGCTGTTGTGATTATTTATTGGTTTGGGATAGAAGGAGGATGTTGTGAAGGAGGATGTTGTGATGCCCGTCTGACATAGTCTTTAGTATTTAAGTGGAAGGAAGGAGTATATGAGATTCGTCAACTTAAAAGCAGGCAGTCTGGCCAACACTGTAACAAATACACACACACTCAAACGCCCAAACACAAACTTTACAGTACATGTACATACAAGAATACACACATACCGTTGTTACACACATGGAAAGAAGCCTGAAGAGCAAAGGAACCTGTAGATTTGTAATTAGATCTTTTTGTTTTGTTCATTTGTTAGCTGAAGCACTTTATTGTGAAAAGTGGGCGGGACACTTTGCCCTGACAGGTTAGGAAAGAGAAGCGTGAAGGCTGCGAGCTGTAGCTCAGGTGGGTTGGGGGGGGGGGGGGTCTCTCACACCCTCCTCAGCCCGCAACACCACTTGTCCTGCCACAGCTCTCCCTCTCATTGCTGGGCAACCTGCTCGCATGCTCTCTGACTAAGTGCTGCCGTGGAAATGGGGTGAGGGGTCGTAAGAAACATCCAGTCTCTACACATCTCCACACTACTGGTGGGCTTTTAGAATGCTATGGTAAGAAGAAGCCTGTGGGTGACAGAGAATCATACTCAAATTGATGTTTTCTTTGCCACTGTAACTTTTAGTGGTGACCAGCACAGGCCCCTAGGCATTTGGGGAGGAGGGGTTCCTGATCGGTTAACCAAGGGGGCACCCCCCCTCTCCAGGGTTAATCAAGACAAAACAGTCAAATTACTTGAGTAGGTACCTTAAGTTTAATTTTCGCTAAATAATACAGAAACAAGCTTTTTTTATGTTCATACATGAATAACTGTAGCTAATTTCCAAGTAAATTGATGTTTGCAATAGTGTAAATATTTGTATGTTGTGCATGTGATTTTGTTATATTGTTTTCCTGAGTGAATGTGTGTGTGAGAGAGCACAGTGAGAGAGTGAGGGGATCAGTGAGCGAGTTGATGCCATTGGATGTCCTGCCTCTCAATCAAAGAGCACAAACATTTTTATGTACATAGAGATTTGATACGTCCTTTTACCCACGCCTGCCACGGGTTCAGTCAACCTACCTCCGCTAGAGGTCCCTGGCACAGAGGAAGGTGCCAACCACAAGGCAGCTGCTCCAAACATCTCCACACAACTTCCTCTTTATACTAGGACTGTTCATATACTAATCCGGATGGGGATTCTGTGTGGAGAGATCAAATCTACTGTGTATTGGAAGTAAAGAAGGCACTGCCTAGCATCCATTCAAGTCTGCTCCTCTCTCTCCCCAAGCATCCGCTGTGCTCGCAATCCAATAGTGTTAGTGAGTCTGCACACGTCAGGTATGCAAATGGCCAGTGATCACAGAAAGTCCATTACAGAAGAAGAGCTGCCTCATAAGCCTGTTTGAAAAGTGGGCAGACTCCTTTGATTTCCTATTGTACAAGTGTGAATAGTGTGTAAATGCATAGACTTGCAACTGGTGGCCACTAGCTCTTTTTATGATGTAAAGTTCTGTTTTCATAAACATATCCATATTCTGTGATTTATTTTGTTTTTGTTCTTCTTGTGCCCTCTCTCTCCTGCTGGTGAGCACTCCGCACCACAAAAAGCCTTTTCTGCACAGTGAGTTGAGGGACAAATACATTAAAACAATAGTCAGAAACTGTCTGAACTTACTAAATGTATTTATAGCGCTGTAGTTTTAGGCCACACTCCCTCACTAGCATTAGTTTAGGAAGAATGGAGTACTAACGATGGGCTGTTTTAGAGACAACACATTGGTAGTAAGCACATGTTATATCCTGTAGAGTGAATGTATTTACCCTCCCTGTCATTTGCACCTCAAGCTGAATGCATACCAACCCTTGTGATGGAACGACCATGAAAATGCAACTGAATTTCCACACACTTATTTTTCAATGAGAAATGTTGATGTTTTACTTGATGTGTGTTAAAGGGCATCTTTCTTCATGGAACTCTACAAATGCAGCCTTTGTTAATTAAAATGAAAAGTTGGAACTACATGCATGGTCTGTCTTACTTCATGGAAAATACTAATATAACATTTGTGGGTCCTCGAGGGACCCCCATTTGAGCCAATGGGCAGTCATTTTGACTCAAACGTTCTAACATTCAATAGATGGAGCCAAAATCATTTTTTTGCAAAACATCAATATACAGCTTCAACATATGTTTCAAACCATCATGTCAATCTCATGGACCATCAGTCCATAGTTATGATGGTGGTTAAATTTCTCCAGCACTCAGCTGGGGTAACTTTTTATCATCTATAACAAGCAAGCATCCCCATCCCTACAGATTCTGATAACATAATTAGCTACACAAGGGGCTCATTCTCTGAACCTAATAAATTAACAGGATTCCAAAATTACACAGTTCTCTATGGAACTATTCTAACTCTTCCAGCCATTTACTGCCAAAGAGAAAGTGACAGATGGGGAGGGAGGGATATTTTAGGACAGCGTTACTGCCTATGTTTTTTGAGGACACATTTTTGAAACAAATTCTGCATACAAATGGATCTAGTACACAAACTGTTTGTGGACAACCTTCTAATCTCAACTTCAACTGTTTTATTTTTACAGACCAGTCCAGTCCAGTCCAGTTAGAGGAGAGGTGCGGCCAGGTTCCCAAATTCTTCTGACAACAGGACCACTTCTGTGAAGAAAAAGGAGAAGGTAAGCCCACAGTTGAATAGACATTGTTTTGTTTTCTCTCTCCACTTCAGTGTTTTTCATACCTCTTCATCTGTGTGCGTGTGTTGGGACCCACTCTCTGTCATCATACTGTGAAAACACTGAATGTAGCCCAGAACCCACAGATGAACAGCGTGGCGACCAATATTGTGCAGCAGCAGATGTTGATCATCATTTCTCCCACTTGGCCTTCCTTTCCCTCCCTCTTCCTCTTAAAGCTTTGTAAACACCCAGTGCCCCCGTTGCTGTTTATGTCTACATCAACCATTTGTCAGTTGCTATGGATGGCCTTCATCACCACATTGAGGCTGCAGTAGATATAAAGAACTAAAAGCATGGAATTCATTAGTCTGCATTATTGGCCATTTGCCATTGCCCAAACTAAATATGTTGCCTTTTATTACTTTGGTTTCCTAAATGCCATCTTGAGATTTAGGCTAAAGGCTACACACATTGTTCAATTCTGTTAGGCATTCCCTTAATAATAGTGTTTCTAGATAGATAATAGATACTGTAGGCAGAGACAGTAGGCTATTTGGGGTTTCATATTTTATCAACAGCCACATTTTCCCTAAGGTGCACAAGCACAAAAATATTCTAAATTTCCTTTAGCCAAAAGGGCTATATTTCCTAAAGTAGAACCCCATCATGTTGAGGGCTATATTTCCTAAAGTTGAACACCATCATGTTGAGTAAAAACAGATGTCCTATAGAGTACCACAGTATGAGTCATAATACCCATAAAACCTAGCGGTCAAACAGGGAAATGGTTCAATCGTTTTCCGCCATTCATTTTTCCCATAGGGGATTTTAGAAGCACTTCAAATAAGGGCTGTGTTTCATGTAGGCTTACCCTGGTGTGACATTTTGATAACAGTGTAAATCTCCCTAGGACAACGTGACTTTTATCAATATATTCGCCTGTAATTCCCCCACCAAAAATGAAATTCTAATTAGCTGCTAATGTGGCTATCACAAAGAACTACAAATGCCATGATCATCTGGACGAGACTGCCAAATCAAGATAAAGATAATTATCTCTGGATTAACTATCTAATATTAGCTAAATGTAGTAATGAAGAAATTGGCTACATTTCTTTAAATGGACAATTATGTGAACTGTCTTGTGCACGTTTTAAATTGACATAAATAACTGTTAGTGAAGGTGCCAGCTAGAGATGACCTGCAGGAGCTTGCAGTTTTGCATGATGTCTACTTTGATGTGAATTAGCATTTTCGAATCTGAGAGTAAATTGAGCCAAATATATTGATAAAAGTCACCTTGTCCAAGAGAGATTTACATGGTTATCAAAATGTCACACCAAAGCCTACAACACAGCCCTTATTTTAAGTGTTTCTAAAATGCCCTATGGGAAAAATGTATGGCAGGGGAACGATTGGAACAGTTTCCTGTTTGACCGCTAGGTTTTATGGGTATTATGACACCTCCAATGTGGGGCTCTATTGCATAACATTCTTCATATCTGTAACAATGGAATAATTTCATGTAGGTCCCCGAAGCACCAGTCTCGCCACTAGAGTGCGCACCGTTCGTGTCCAATTTCAAAAGTGATTAGAAAAAGGAGAGGGTTGCTGGCGGAAACCTATCGGGACTTCAGTGCTCTGCGAAGAAGTTGCGGGGAGTCTCGTCTCGATCTCAAATCAGAATAGGTAGTCGCAGCATT